TAAAAAATATTTATAATTCGTTGATTATGTCGTTGTAAATAAAAATTAAAAAGTAGCTAGTTTTAGCTAAGATAAAAAAATTTTTTACTTAAATTTTTCCGAATTCTCCATTTTATGATCCACATTAATTTTTTTCTTATAATGAGAATTTCTACTTATAATGATCTTATAATGAGATATATATGATCTTATAATGATTTATAATGATCTTATAATGAGAATTTCTACTAATAGTTTTTATCATAATAGATAATTATGTGAGATACAAAGTGCTCAATTACACGTTCCTATAAGGGGCATTGAAAGAAAATAAAGATATTTCTTTCAATTTTCTACAAATAAACAAAATTTTCAACCAAATTTCCAGTCATTTGTTGTAAAATGGAAAATACAACCGAAAAACAGAATTTATCATTAATTATGGTTATATTTTTAATTTACAAAAGTTAATTATTATATTCGAAATTCTGATATATTTAAATTTATTGAAATGTTATAAAATACTGGTAATTTAATGTACAGGGTGTTTCAACTAAGAAGCCTATTTTAAAAATTAATAACTATTTATTACGTTGACAGATTTTAATAATTTTTGGTACTTTATACATACATATCTATAATTTATGAGAATTTTTTTGACATAAAATTTAATGATTAAACAATATAAATAATGACATATTTTTTATAAAACTTTTTTTCATAGTAAACAAAAAAATCTTTTATTAAAAGAAAAAGGTGACTATTATATTAATTATTAAAGTGCTTATTATATTAAAAAATTTTAAAAGTTTAATTTTGTTTGCAGGTGTATTTCTAATAAATTTTTAAAGTTTAATAAATATATTCATTAAAAACAGATTTAAAAGTGAACTTTTAAATTATAAATCACCACTATACTTTAGATGAGTTGTAAGGTAAATTAGTAAATGCTTACATACAATCTGTAACTAGAAATTAAATAAAATTTTTAAAGTTTAAGAAGTTTTTGTTTATTAAAAACAGACTTTTGAAAAATTTAAATGTTTCGTGACTTTTAAAAAATTTAAACGAAACAAAAATATTATTGAAATATTGTACAGAATTTTAAATCTCTATCTAACTACAATAAAAATTTAAGATATTTTGTTATTTTAATTAAAAAGTTTTTAATGTAATAAACTAGCGTTCGGGGCGTGGCCACTTGAGTCGATTAAAACTGCTGTCTCTAGCGTTTTTGGTATTGAGTTGAATTACGTTTGAAAATTTGAAAAAATCGGAAATTTTCAACTAAAAACTCAAATAACAATTCTCAGACTCAAGTGACACCTCTGAAAATATTTTTAATGAATTCCCCACATTAATCCCCATCGAATGACACCACAACCATCTTTGTATGACCAATACTTAAAAAGTTACAAATAATAGTATACAACACGATAAAAACCAATTTTAGTATGCGGGCCTTCGGCCCGCATATTTATTAAGAATTTAATAGGTATTTGAGGGCCTTCGGCCCTCAAATACAATGATTAAATTTAAGTTTTATAAAAATTAACGTCCAAGACAGAAAATGAGTTCTGAGACTCAACTGTCCTTTTAATAATAACCACGTTATTAAGGTCACCCGAGGGCTACGCATAATTTGCAGTTTTTTTGTATTATTGCTGCAATCATTGCATCCCTAATTTTTTCATCATCTAGTAGAAAAAAGTTGAGACTCAATCGTCCTGTCACGCAAAAATATTTTTATAGCAGTTCTAATAAGTTTTCAGATATTTTCCGCTCATTTCCACCACTATTTCACATTCAGACTCAAATAACTTGTTTGAGACTCAAGTGTCACTTTTAAAAATATTTTTTTCGTACTCTCCATAGTCGATTACCTATTATAGTATCAAGTTCGAAAATTGAATATCAGTATAAAAAATCTTTTGTCCAGCTGGCATTTTGTCAACAATTCCCACAAAATCTACCTATAAAGAACAAAAATGCCCACCCCAAAAAATGGTTAGTCACGCGTAACTCAATAACGAAAACTCGGATTAACATGATCTTTTTTTTGTTCGATAGGGAATTCACTGGTTTGTGCCCTCAAAGCATGGTCGAAATTCTACAAATTCGGGATCATGTCGAAACGTCGAAAAAACTTTTTGACACTTTCGTCACAATCGACTTTTTCGACATTTAACTTTATAATTTCGACTTTTCCATAATTTTCCCATATAATACAATAGATTGACTATTCATCAAAAAAAACATTTTTCTGATCCAACCGGCCCTTCTTGAGATCTTTGATTTCTCATCTGGTACATCTAAAATTTTTATGCTCGGATATCGTATCAAAAAATTTTGAAATTTTACCTTATCATAACTTCCGAACGGCATAACCGTTTTCCAAAATTTTTTCCATATAAGATAGATAATTCAAAGCGGATTCAAACTATATATAATTCATATTTTTCGCATTTCGATTTCATGTCGAAATTTCGAAAATGCGGCTTCAGACTCAGATATCTCTTTTGAGACTCAAGTGTCCAACTCAAAAATATTTTTTTCGAACTCCCCATAGCCGATTACCTATTATAGGATCAAATTCGAAAATTGTCGGTCAACTTTGAAAAATGTTCCCTTTTGTCGGTTGGCGATCTGAACAACTTCTCCCATAAATTTTCGGCCAAATTATACTTCGCCACCCGTTGCGAAACGTGGTGTCACTCATAACTCCAGAACGAAAAGTCGGATTTGCATGAACTTTTTTTTGTTCGACGCGGAATTCAGTGTAGATTTAACCTTCGGGAAGGGTCGAATTCGCCCGGGTTCGGGATCATGTCGAAATGTCGAAAAAACACTTTCCACATTTCGCCAATATCGACTTTTGACACACTTAAGTCGACTTTTCGAACTTCTCTATAGTTTTCCTCTATGGTCCCATTCATCAGCTCTCAAACAAAAAAAAGTTTGTCCGGATCCGACTTTCGAGTCGAGCCCTATTTTTTCTTTCCCGGGGTACCCAAATAAAGGCAAATTTTTGATCAAAATTTTTGGCAAATTTTGACAATTTGGGGGGCCATAACTTTCGAACGGGTGGTCCAAATTTAAAAATTTTTCCGTCATTCGATAGGGAATTTTCTACTCTATCGATGTAGTCAAAATCATTTTTTTCGCATTTCGTCTTCATATCGAAATGTCGAAAAAACGGGCAAAATCTCAAAAACGCAAAAAAAGTGGGTAGTACCATCTTCGAACGAAAATATTTCGGGTTAGGGAAGTCGATTTCGAAAAAGTGCTTCGGTTAATCGGTCCCAAATTAAACGGGCTACATTTTGTCTCCCAGACCCTTATTTTTCCAATTTCGTTTTGGGACATTCATCCTCAGTTTCGTGTTTCGACTTTTCGACATTTCGATATTCCCGAAATTTTCGAAATTTGACCTCAACAGACTTTTTGTAGCTTTTTGAATTTCCGGTTCAACAAAAAAAATTTTATCCAAATCGGAGACTCAGAAAAAAAGTTATTTTAAAAAAAGCTCTTTTGTGTTAAAATTTTTTTATATATAGATAATGTATGCAATGCCCTTTAAAAGGTACGAGACCAAAAATAGTAGTATGAATGATAAGACAAAATTTCTTACCAGATTTTTATTAAAAAGAAATTAAAAAATTTTTTTCTTAATGTGTATATTTTAATTTTTTTGGAATATTTTCTTCGAGGTCGAGAGGCAAATTTTGGCCGAGGTTCGAGAATAACCGAGGGTTTTATAAAATTTTATAACTTTTCAAAATCTGCTTAAATTTAATAAATTTGATCAAATATTCACTAAATTATATCAAATTTCGATTTAGTACTTTTCCTAATAGAGATCGTACAATCGTACAATCAATATTTTTAAACACACGATTTTATAAGCATATCAATCAGTCTTGAATTGTTTAGCATCGTATAATTTGAAACTATTTGATCATTGGTACAACGATCCGTACTATATCTGAGAATCAATGGCGATATTTGTAATTAGTGTAGTAATTAAGTAATTAGATATTTGTAATTTTGTTCAGAATCATCGAAGCAGCTGATGTTGGTGTCATTCGATTTAGCTCGTCAACTTTTTCAATATTTTATAAATAGATAAAGTTTTAAAAAGTTCGATAAAATAATTTACTAAGATTAATTATAATATACAGGTTATCAGAAAATATTTATTAGACTTTAAAAAATATGTTGATTATTGAGAGATTTACTAATTAAAAAAATATTTTTGTAAATATGTATTTGATAAATCCAGTTCGAAAAATAGTTTATATTATACACAGACGAAACACTGATTTTAACCTCAAGCAAGCATTATTTTTATGATTATTTATCCAGTCATATTGTGCATATTTTGTTGATTGTTTATAAACCCTCCATAAATTGAAATTTTAAATGTTTTTAACGATTTAAAAATATTTTTTAAAAGAGCTTTTGTGTTGTTACGAACAGTTTTGTTTAATGTGATGTAAATAACTGGAGGTAATCCTTTAAATAAAAATCCTTTTTGTTTATTCTTATTAAATATTAATAATTAAGTTGTAAAGTAAATAAAAGACCTCCTGTTAGCATATACATACATATGCTAAGGTAATTAAGATTTCTAGACTTCCGGATTGGTAGACAAGAATTATTTAATTAAATTCGGTCTTCGAGTTTTAATTTTAAAGATTTTTCATATGGGAAGCTATTTCGGAGTATATCTTGCCTAAAAATCTCCTGAATTCTATACGCGGGATTGATCTCTTACTCGTTAAATGTTGGCTTTCTATTGGTTATTTATTTTCTCTTTCTTACCCTTGATCGATCACTAAAATGATCGATATCACTCTCATTTGATCACTACTCGATTGATCAAACTATCGGATCTATTCGATTGATCAATTGTACAAATTTATTAAAATTGGTGTTTGTTCCGGCGTTGGAACAACTTCCCCTTTTGTATAATAAAATTTATAAACTACATAACACCCCGGTTAAGTCTTATTTGCGTTTCATAACAAAAACAATCTCTTATGTAAAAAGTGAAAATTCCCCTTGATTATAGTAAAAATCAAATTACCATGAATATGTAACCTTAAAAATATATAAATTAATTTAAATCTTTATTATAATTAATTTACAAAGTGAACTGTGCAATTATTACTGTTAAAGTCCCGTGATCTGGATGGTACATATTGTAAGATATAACAATACCTGCTGATGTATTTAGCATTGAAATAATAAATACTTGAATAAAAACCTTTAAAAATTAATTTTTAATAAAATATTTTTGACTAATAAAGAAACATTTTATTAGTATATTTTCTTTGATTTTCCACTAGACCTTAATTGGGAATAAAAAGTGCCACAGCGACTTAAATTTTGGCCATGTCGAAATCTTATTTTTCTGTTCCGGTTTGGAAACTGAGCTTTTAAAATTTTTTGATAATCTCGAAAATACAAGAAAATTAAGTTGAATAAATTAGTAAATGCCTCAAAATAATAAAAATTTCAAAATTCATATCTCTCAAAATTTATTGTTTGACTTTAAATTGGACAAAATAATAAAGTTTATATAATTTTAACCAGTTTCTCCTCTTTAGAAACACTGCTAATTAATTCACGGCCTTTAAGGAAAACACAAATTGAAAAAATTGAATAAATTATTGGAGACCCTAAAGCCAATATTGTATTGTGTATTGTAAATGGTAATAAATCATTTTCAAACTAAATATTAAAATATATAAAATTATCTAAATTTATTAACTAATTCCATTCTAAATGGTCTATATCCATTTAATGGATCAAATGATACTTCAAACTTTCTTCCATTAAAAATATAATTATGACTAAATAAAAGCCAAGAAAGTCCATATAAATTACAAAAAGTTATCCAAATATAAACTCGATTATTATGAAAAAGCTTTTGCGCAATCTTTGGAAATGCAACTTCGAGACAACGATTTATTCCCAAAATCTAAAATAATTCAATAAATATTTTTTTATTTTTAGAACCAGGTCAGCACAACATTCAGCAGCCCAAAAAACTAAAAGAATTATTTATTATCGTGCTTCTTGCATTAAAATTTTGTCATTAAATAAATTTAAACCATTATAGTTCTGACCATGGATATGACGGGTTACCCGAAATACGACCCGAGAAATTTGCGAACACACGCCCGAACCCTGCTTTTTCCACGCCTCTCTCACTTAAAGAAACTAATCTGGCTTCTTGATCATACAAAAATCTCAAGATTTTCGCCTGCGGCGCTAGAAAAGGAATAGGTATATCCTTGCTTATCCGATCAAAGTAGTCTTAAATACTTTAATTTATTACTTTTTATTAAAATTATGATTAAAGAACTCACATAATGAAAAACAACCGAAAAAATAGCTTAAAAAAGGTGAAGAACAATAGACTAGACCATTTAAGTTAAAGAATCCATGAGCAAAAGTTAACACCCAAAGAGTTCCAATATCCAAGATTGAAAGATAAATTAAAAGCATATAACAAGGATTTTTGGCTCTATTCTTCCAAAAAGAGTAAAGACAAGGGAAATATAAAGGCTTAAATTATTAAAATTCAATAAAAAGTTAATGAATACTTTACGTAATATATAAATCCAAGTAAAATACTAATTATTGAAACTATTAGAAATCTTTGGTCAATTGGAACATCATCAACATTAATTCCTGTACAATTATATATTATATAGAATTCCTTACGATTCCACAAAATATATTCCATTATATATTCAGATCTAAGAATTTGAAATTAAATTTTAATTTTCTGATGTAATATTAGACAAACCTAGTTAAAGTACTAAAACAATAAACAATTCTTTCAATTAAATCTATTTAGAATTAGAAACTTATAAATTGGGGTAACTGTTTTAATTCAAACTAGTGTTCGCAAATGGACTTTTCCGGTACCGGTAGTACCGAAAACTACCCAAATAACAACACAGCTCTTATTAGAAAATTCAAAGAGAATTTTGATATTTCTTTCATTTTTCGTTCAAAATAATTACAAAGTAAATCTGCAGAAAATTTTCTAATTTTTTTTTCTTTGAATTCCTCTAAAATGGAATTTTAGGGCGTGTATACCCTGAAATCCTCGAAACTTTTCCGGGTTGGGGGCCGGGGTCTTTGAATTGTTTCGAGGCGGGGTTCGGTCGGGGAAATGTTGAAAAATTCTTTTGGGAACGCGGATCTGGTACGGTTTGTCTAGCTCCAATTTCTAAGGTTATAAAATGTAAAAGCTCTTTATCTAGATAAAAGCCGAACATAATGACTAAATAAACATCTTTATTTCCCGTTAATATTTATTAGAAAAACTTTAAAAACAAAGTTTTTTAGTTTTGTAAACATTTTAAACTTTCACATGGCAACTGTAATTGTATGGTTCGCATTTATTCAAATTCTTAATTTCTAGATAGAATATTACAATTATCTTTTTGTTATAGTAAATATTTATAAACCTTTAAAAAATTATTTTCAAGTAAAATTTTCACATGGCTAGACTTAAAACAAATATTTTTAATAGAATACCTTTATTCATTAAGAACCTTTATTCTTTATTCATTAAGAAAAAACTTTTTAAATAAAAATAAACATTTTAAGGTGTTTATTCAAGTATTTATTATTTCAATGTTAAATACATCGGATGGCATTGCCTATGCTTACACTATGAATCATCCTGATCATGGAATGTTACCTGCAATGATTGCACATTTTTCTTGGTATTAGAAATTAATTATAATAATTAAAATATATTTAATTTATTATATTCTAAGGTTACATATTCATGGTAAGTATTTTTATTGATATATGACAGTATTCAAATTCGAGTTCATTTTTAAAAAATCCGCTTTCATTTTTTGTTCGGAACCTTTGGCCAGCTGGTCTAATATTAAATTTTGGTTATCTATTTTCTGAACTTTTAAAAATTAAATAAAAAAATATCATTGAATTGGCTCTAATAATCTAATGATATTATGAGGGATTAAGTAGATTATGTTGGATATAGGGGATATTATCGATCTCCTCCAAATTTCAAATCCCTCTATATCCCCATATCCTCTTTATACTTCTTAATCACTCGAACTCTCTCTTAATCCTCTGTCTTTTTAAAAATTTACTTTCAGGCTTTCCTCCAGTTATTTACCTAATATTAAACAAAACTGTTCGTAACGACACAAAAGCCCTTTTTAAAAAGATTTTTTCTTCCTTAAAAAAAGTTAAGGATTTATCTGTTGGAAGTAATAATCAACAAAATATCAGAAATAATACTTGGATGTAAAAAGAAAATAATGATTAAAATTAAATACCTCGTGCAGAATATCGCTAATGTGAGAGTCGTACACTCAAATTGTTTTTATGTGGAAAATATTTTTTTTAAAAAACGTTTACTGCCCAAATTACTCACTGTCCAATTCACCTCACTGCCTAAATCACTCACTGCCCATTTAACCACTGCCTACGTCACTTCTGCCGAAATCACCAGACACGATTTTCACAGTGATTGATAAATGTTTATTCATCGTTTTTGCAAAAAAATCCTGGAATTTTTAATTAATTTTACTTTTTTATAAACAGAAGTTTTATCTCCATGAAACTTTCTATAATAAAGCTCCGATACTACTTAATTAACAAGTACTTTTAGAGATTAAAGATTACTACTTTTTTAATTTAAATATTATTTTAAACAAATATTTACTTTATATTTAATTTTCTCAACACATTATTAAAAAATTCATTAGAGAAATATATTTGGTTCAAAACGTACAGCCACTATCTCCGTCATAATACAAATATTTCCCTTAAAAATATGTACTTTAAGGGAAAATTTTTTACTTCTTTAAATTAATGTTTAATTATCTTTAATACAGAATAAAATAATTTATACAAGATATAAAATTTTCAGACATATTTACAAATTATTATTTCGCAGAATTTTAAATTAAAAGGATTTTATTTTTTATTTTATATTTTATCTAGTACATATACTATAAATTTATATCTTCGAGGGCCGAATGCCCGCGATTTACATACATCTAACAATCTAAAAGCGCGATTACATGTAGCGGGCCGAAGGCCCTACGAGAGATTTATGACTGAATATTATAGTAAAGAAAGCAAAAGTCGATAGGCTTTCTAACTCGAAGTTCTGTTTTGTTACTCAGAATGTTGAGTAAAACAAAAAAACTGACTAAGATTCCTAAATTTCTAGAATTATAGTAATAATATTAGCTCTGCTGGTGAAAATTTTAGGAAACTTTAAAGATTTGTTTTCATAGAGTACCTATTTTTAATTTAAAGATAAGCTTTTGGTACTTTTCCGTTTATGTCCATATGTAGTTTTACCTATCTCTTAATAATTTGAAAAATATTTCAATTTTTACAAAGGAAATTTTAGTTTCAATACTTAAGATTTCGTCTAGATCTTTTGGATTTTTTAAATTTTAAATTGAATTTATTAAATCTTTTAAATTTGAAGAATCTGAATATATAATGGAAGATTTATTATGGAATCGCGATGAATTTGACAGAGCCTATAATTGTACTGGAATTAATGTAAATGATGTTCCAATTGAACAAAGAAGATATCCAGTTGCTGCAATTATATGTATAATTTTAGGCTGCATATATTATGTATTTCTTAAAAATTAAGCAAAAAAATTTAAAAATTTAAGCCTTTATATTTCCCTTGTATTTACTCTTTTTGGAAGAATAGAGCCAAAAATCCTTGTTATATACTTTTAATTTATCTTTCATTAACGGATTTGTGCATACTTTGGATGCCAACTTTTGCTTTTGGAATTTTTAGTTTAAATGGAGTAGTTTATTGTTCTTCACCCTTTTTAACTTATTTTGTTGGATGTTGTGGATTATGCACGTTTTTTTATTTAAATGAATATTTGTTATATACTATAGGAAACTTTTAATTTTACAAAGAGTATCTGAAGTGTACATATTTTAATTAGTGTCTAATTAACAATACTTATATGTACTTTTAAGAATTTTTTTAGTTTTCTGGGCTTGTGAATGCTCTGCTGATTTGGTCTTTTAATTAATTAAAAATACGAGGTAGGTAACTATGATATATTTTTTAGATTTTGGGAATAAATCGTTGTCTCGAAATGGCATTTCCAAAAATTGCGAGAAAACTTTTTCATAATAATCGTATTTATATTTGGATAACTTTTTGCACTTTACATGGACTTTATTGGCTTTTATTTTGTCATCCTGTGATTTTTAGTGGAATATTGTTTGAAGTTTCATATGAACCATTAATTGGATATATACCTTTTAGAATGGATTTAGTTTGAAGAGTATAATACACTGTGGTGAAAGGTTTATACACACGCACAAGTTTATTGCATATACCGTATTTATTCTAATAGAATGGCCCCTCTAATAGAATGGCCCCTCCAATAGAATGGCCCCTTTTTGGGGGTATCGAAAAATAGAGTGGCCACCTCTATTTGAATGGCCCCTCCAATAGAATGGCCCTTTTAACTACAAAACATATACCTAATACATTTCTTTATTTTCTTATTACCTGTTAAATAGTACTCTTTAGTTAGGATAATCATAATATTTTTGAGCAAATCTGGAGTAATAAAAGGGAGATTAAGAGGGATATCAGGGGATTTGAGAGGATTAGAAGGGATATCACGAAGTTACAACGATTTACTGAAGATAACTAATAGCAAGGAATTAAGAGAATTAAGGTTAGATATTCATGGATTGAATAAATCTATTCCGATTCCAGTATATTACGTCCAAATTCCAAGATCCTACGAAATTTTAGGAGCCAACTGTACCGGAAATTTTGATTGTGTGGCACCGAAGTACATCAAAAGTTGCCTTTTCAGCCCCGCAGGCAAAAGGCTCTTATGTTTTATAGTGATACGAGAAGAAAAATTCACTAACCTAAATCAAAACTTTAGAATTTTATAAGAAAAATCGATTAAATTTCGAAGTCGAAAAATATTCGAGTGGACAATAGGTTCATCCAATCTCAGATTTTAACCTATGAAAAATAGAATGGCCACCTCCATTAGAATGGCCCCTCCAATAGAATGGCCCCTTTTTGGGGGTATCGAAAAATAGAGTGGCGGCCACTCTATTAGAATAAATACGGTAGTACAGCTTATTGGTAAAGCTACGTTGTAGGAAATTAATTTAATTTTGACCTGATTGAAATAAAGCAGATCCTTTATAATTGTAATAAATACTTTGAATACATTCAATTTTTTCGTAAATCTGCAATGCCCCTTAAGTGTATAACGATGAAGCTAATTATTTCTAGTTCGTAAAGAAATACTTCAAAATTCAATACGTTTCAAAAGTATAGCACATTATAACTTTTTACTTTTTCGAAGTTTAGTTATGTATCGTTTCAAAATTAGGAACATTTAGCTAATCTAACCCAAAATTTCATTAACTTTTGTCAATGCAAAATTGTAAAGTATTTTTTAAATCTTCCTAAAAAATTGTTTTATAAGTAAAATTAACCCTTAAGCTTGCTTCGGGAGTTTAAGTTTTCTCTTTATGAAGTTTTTCTGAAAAATAACAATGTTGCTATTTTGTAGCTTATTTCAAAGACTGCTAGAAAAGCTCAAAATAAAAATTCAAAATACCTATAAGGAATCCAGAATAATTTTTAAATAGGCTTGTTTTACGTTGATTTCTAGGTGGCAGGATCTCAATTTCGAGTTTTTTTTTTATTTTTTGGAATTTTTCTGATCTCAAAAATTAAAGGGGGTTGTACTTTTGAAGCAGAGTGTATAATATTCTCCAGCTAAATATTAGTTAGAAATATCAGTATATAATTTCAGTCTTTGTGTATAAATATTTGCACCACAGTGTAAACGGACATTTTTTAAAAATTGATTTAAAATTTTTCAGTTCGAAAGGGATATATTTGAAATTTCAATACACAATACAATATTAGCTATAGGGTCACCATTAATTTACACTTTATTTGTCCTTTGTTTATATTTCAAAATTAAAGAAATGACAACCAGAGTTACAAAAGAAGAAATTATGGTAAAATTCTTCTTTAATAAAAAAATTCTAAGATATTTTCCCCATAAATATTTTTAAATTTTATATTGTCCCTTACTTTAATGATTGTAAAACAAATAAATATGGAAACGACAATTTAAATCGAAAATTTTTATTAATTTTTGAGAAATTCAAAAATCTGAAATTTATTTTATCGATAATGACTTCCTCCAAATTTTAACTCATTTTTGGGAATTTATGAACAAAATGTCTTAATTCCAGATTTGACAGATAATGTAAAAGACTAAAAAATTATTTTTAGGTTTTTATTCAAGTATTTATCATTTCAATGTTAAATACAGCCGAGGGGTTGGCCTACACTTATAAATTTAAATATCCAGATAGCGGTTTTTGGCTTACAATAATTGCACATTTTTCTTGGTAAATAAGTAAATGTTAATTTTTAATTTTATTTTTAAGGTTACATATCCACGGTAGGTTGTACAAATAGATTCAATCCTAAAAACAAATTAGCAATTAAGTAGATATATTATTTTAATTTTCAGGTTTTCCTCCAGTTATTTACCTAACATTAAACAAAACTGTCCGTACAGACACAAAAGCCCTTCTTAAAAAAATTTTTTCCTACTTCAAAATATTTAAAGTTTCGGTTGGAGTAAATAATCAACACAATATGCTTGGATAAATACATACACATATGTAAAAACAAATCAACGAATTGTAAATATTCTGTATTGAATATATATTTTGATATATTCTCGATTTAAATATTCTGTAATTAAAAGAAAAGAATTATTTTTTAATATTTATGCATAATTCAAGAGGGAGTCATTTAGGATAATGGGCGAGGGCCGGATGCATGAAGGCACTTTTTACGCCTAAGGCACGAATTATATATCGAAAAATTAAATTTTTGGTTAAATAATCTCATGTATTTGAAAAAACTCCTCTATTGATCAGCACGATTAACTGATCGCACGACCGCCTTGCATATGCCTCTGATGTCTCAATAGTTCATTCTGACGAAAATCGTTAACGAAATCGTTTGAACGAAACTGACTACCAGATAATAAATTATAGATATAAAAACTGGAGAATAGGCGAACATTCTTCATGCCCAAGTTTAATTAAAGATAACTAGTGTTTTTAGGTGCAAAAAACCGTAAAATAGATCTAAGTTAGGTCAAAAAAATTTAGAAGTTCAAAAATTCGAAAAAGGCCAAAATAGGTCCGAACTTCTAAACAGACTCGAAATTTTGCAAGAAACTCGCAGATTATATTACAAATATTCACATAATAAAATTGAGCGATAAATTTTAAAAAATGAAAGGTTTACTTCAAATCACTAAGTAAGGGGATGACGAATAAGCTTTACAAACAATAATTGATGAGCTTGAATTTTTAAAGCTTTCATTTTGGTTTTAGTAAGAAACCCTACTAATTTAAGAGTACCAGGAATTAGTAGCTTAAAGACAATATTCAGAACAATCTTATAAAGTTAAAGACTGTTACAAATAGACAAAACCTAAAAATTTTTAAATTTAAAAATCCAAACTCATTTTTATAAAAAATTTAAATTAAAAATTAATGACAAAATTATTTTCAAAGACATATGTATATGTAAAAGAGCATATAAAATTAATTAATTATTAATAGGGATGGGATAAAACATATTTTGTATGCGGATATGCCTTGAAGTGGGAAGCCCAAAAATGGTGTTTTAACATTGGTCCGAGCATTTTAGGACCCCATTCTTAATGCATTTTTTGCATATTTAGGTCTTTTCAAGCATATTTGTGCATATTTTGGGAAATTTTGCAGATTTTGGGCTTTTTCGGTGCATATATATGCGCATATTTTTCGACTTTGCGTGCGTATTTTTCCCATCCCTAATTATTAAATATTATTTAAAATATAAAAATCTAAAAAGGCCAACCATGATTTTATTTATTAAAATTTAGGTATTTTTTATTTATTATTTATGTTCTCTCCAAAATTTTTTTTTAAATTTCAAATAATTTCACAACAAGAATGCCTTTGTTTTTGCCTAGCACTTTGTACATAATTAATTTCCCTAACAATTTCAGCAAAAACTGTGTTTACATTGTGAGCACTTTTTGCAGAACATTCAGCAAAAGGGCAAGCCCAATATTCTGAAAATAAATTATTTTCTGATTTTTTATAATTAAGAAAAATAATTTATGTTATACATAGAATTTATGCCCTATTATTATTTTTTCCTATTATTTTTAATTTTGCTGTAATAGCAAAAAATGATAGCACATGCTACTCGAGATCGGGGAAAACTTTGAACAGAAATACTGGACATCGAATTTGGAAGTATTGATCTAACTGTGATTATTCTTTTATTGGAAAATCCATATAGGTAGCAAGTATATGAATAGGTCTTCGATTTTGACCCATCTTTTCATTAAATAATAGGGTGTGGTTACCAATAACGTTAAATTAAACTAAATTTTGAATCATTCAGAAAATATTATGGAACTTTAATTTTTCAGCTATTTTTAATCTCATTTTAAAAAAATAACGGAGAGAAAAAACCTGCTAAAGCAGCACCATCTTCAGACCGAACCTAAATATATTTTTTATTATTTTAAAAATTTATTTTTTAATACATTATTAATTTAGCTGATAAATAAATTAATATTTTAGAGAAAAAAACAAATTTTCTTATCCTCCTCCTAAAAGTTTCTCGAACTTCAACGATAGAATAAAACTATGGCCTATTTTAAAATACGAGTGTTAACACTCTTGTATTAAAATATATTTTTAGCTAAAAGACTTTTTCATTTAAATTTACAATCTAATCATAATAATTAATTGACCGTTAATTTTCACAACTTCTTAAGAATTATCGTTAGATAATTTTGAAATTCTCAAAATATTTTAAATTTTAATAATTATTTTAAAATATTTATAAGAAACTTTAATCAAATATTTTTTATTCAACCTGTCTCTGATGTGCCAAATCACACTTATTTCCAACTAATAAAATCGGAACTTGATCAGTACCCTTAAAAACATTATACGAATATTCTCTTAATTCCAAATAAAAACCTTAACGCGGATTATTTGATCTCTCATAGTTCGGATATCGTGAAAGCTCTGTTGATTGGTAATTGAATATATCACGAGGAAACCCTGGCCATTTTTTATATATAAATCCCGCATTGAGGCAAATTGTTCAGTCCCGGCAGTGTCGAGAATTTCAAGAACACAAGGCTGTCCATCAACCTAAATAAATTATAATCTGGAATTGTTTGGAAAGGGATACTTTTAGGGTATATTGGGAGAAAATATTTTACCATAAAAACAATATTAACTACCCTGGGTAATTATTGTTTCGACCTCTCTCTGGAGAGGGTAATTAATAAAGGTTATTTTAGAAAGGCAAATTATAACTATATTTATGTAAGTGAGTAGTTATTAATTCAACCTTTTGCTTGAGGGGGTAACTAATAGAGGTGGGGTAATTATTTGAGGGAGGGACATTAATATAGTTTTTACGGTATATAAATTTTAATTTTCTTTAAGCTAAAATTAAAGTTAATAGTTTAATTTAAATTTTTTTAAATTAAATATTGATTCTTAAAAAGTGATGAGTCATCATCTTTTTTGTCTACTTCAAAAATAAAAAACAATAAAACCCCTTCCCTCAAACGAAAAAATTTTCTTTAGGTCTTTATTAAAAATATTTTTAATAAAAAGTTTAAATCAACTTTTTATTAATTAAAAAAATTATTTTTTAATAGTCTTTTAACTCCAAAAAACAAATTAATTCAATTTATATTTTCAAAAAAAACCTCAATCTCTTTTCTATAAAAATCTTCAATTGTCGGATCATATTTTACAATAAATTTATTAGAAACAAATTGGACAGTTAAAGCAGATTTCCCAACTCCGCCTGATCCAAGAACAACAACTTTAAATTCCCTCATTTGTTAAAATTTTAAAAATCTGAATTAAATTAATTTAATTGATTAAATATTATTTAAAGAAATTAAATAATATATAGGTAATTAGAAATTGTAATTTTAATTATTAACGGCTTTTTATTAAATAGCTTTTCTACCGCCCACAAAATCAACACTCTAGAAGACAACTCTTTAAAGTTGTCTAAAAACAAAAAATAAATAAAATAAATTTTTTTGTCAAATATTTTCAAATCAATAGGTTCTTGCTTCAGAAAAATTTCATAATTTTTCGACTTTTAAGTAGGAATTTTCGAAATAAATTATTTTGTTTGGAATTATTTTTGGGATTTTATGAAAATTTTAATTTATAAAAAATAAATTTAAAAAAGGGGAATAATTTTCCTTCAAGTTTTAATTTAATAAATAATTAAAGAATGATCAACAGTTTTTACACATTTTTGTGAAAAAAATGAATGAAAATTAAATTTTTTTCCTCTACTTAAACATTTAAAGTGTTCTTTTCTTGTTGACCAAAAATTGAGGTCAATGACAGTTCGGGGAATATTTTGTAAAGGAGAAAATAACTAGAGATGTGGTGAATGTACATTTAATTTTTTTTATTAAATGCGGGAAAAGATCAATTTAATTTTTAAAAATCAAAAACATCCCTCAATTTATTTTGTGGCTAATAGCGACGAGGAGAATTTTTATTTAAAAAACAATTACAAAGGAGAGATGATTTGTAATCAAAAATACCGTCATTATTCGATTGATTACCCTCGGTAATAATTAATAGGTATTTTTATAAAGATCACCGAAAATAACTTTATTCTAAAAATATGTAAAGTTTAAAAAATGTAAATTTTAAAAGTTTATGTGAAAAGAAAAAACAAGGTTCAAAAAGAATAAAAAAAGTTCAAGACTGAGCCCAAAAGTAATAATAAAGAAATACATAAATATCAAAATAGTCGAACGTGTCTAAAAAAGTATAAAAATGACAGCAAAAATTTAAACTTACCGTGTTTATTCTAATAGAATGACACCACTATATTTTTCAATACCCTCAAAAAAGGGCCATTCTTTTAGAAAAATATGGTATATCAATGTGAAAAATCAAAAAAACCCTGGGTAAATATAAAAAATCACAATTAAAGAGGTATGTTGCGAAATATTAGAGCTCGCCAGAATCGAAAAAAATCTAAGAACCCCGCTAAAAATGCCAAAAAAAAATCTGCAAAAATTTCCACAAATCGAAAACTTAAAATTTTCTGTTCGTAATTTTCCCTCCTTCCGTGCCTGAATTTTTTTCGTTGCAGTTAGCCAAAAAATTTGGTAAAACTGACAATCAAAATTTGAAAATGAAGGTCTGTTAACTCTAAATTCAATGGATGTGTAACAAAAAAAACTCAGGCTAAGCTCTACCAAACATGCTAGTTTCAAACTTGAATAAATAAATTACGCTATTGGTGTCCGTGCTCCCGTTTTAAAATTTCGTTAATCCCATATAATATTTGATCAATATCAAGGCGCTCGTTAGGGTGAACAGCAATGCAATCCTAAAATTATAAATATTTATATACGTAATTTATAATAAGATTCTACTGCTAGTAAATGGAGTAATAATTTCACAAAAATGTTAATTAAATCGAGTAATTAAATTATAAATCCATTTATACCTTTATAATAGAGTCTAAAGGTGAATTTTTGCTGTGATCATTTCGATAAATTTCCAAAACCTCTAATAGTTCAGGTCGTCCTTCTATTTAAATTAATAATTCTATATTTAATAAAAATTCATGAAATTATTACTTGGTAATTCTCCATAAACAATTTCATAACTCATTAAACCAAAAGCCCAAATATCTGCACTTAAAGATACCTAAAACAAGATAAAATTAGATACAAATTAATATAAACATTTATCATGATTAAAGTAGGGTATGGTCTATCTGTCTACCAAATGTCATCCCAAAGTCCCACGGACACCACAAGCTCTCTGCTTTGTAAGGTGTTTAAAAATTATATATAAAAGTTTATTTTATTTTTTAGTCCAAAAAATTTTGAGAAAATAGTAAATTATAAAATATTTTTACATAATTATGTTTAGACCTACATTTTCAATATCATTTCTTTCAAGCTCTGGAGGCTTCAATACACTATTCATAGTTGTTAATTGAACTTCATCAATATCCCATCCACTGATTACAGAAGAATTAAAGTCTATCAATTTAAGATTAATAACAGGCCTAGTTACAATGCTAGTTTGATTGCTTTTATAACCAAGTACAAAATTGTCTAATTTAATGTCCAAATGAATAATATCTGAAAATTTAGATTAAAAATTAAAATTAGGTAAAATTATACTTTTATCGTGTAATTGTTTAATTGCTATAGCAGCACTTTTAAGAATCTTCATAATAAAATTATTCTTGGATGTATCTTCTAGCTCCCCCATTTTTGCGTGAAAGTAATTTAATAAATTACGACCGCAAAGTTCTAAAACGGTGTACATCCTTTCATATTCTTCCATGCTTAAAAGACAAAATTTAAAAATATATGACAAAGTTAACAACATCTCCCAAAAATTCTAAAATCAAAAATAGGAAAAAGGGACGAAAATCAAAATTTTGGCACACCTGAGCAAGCTTCAAATTACCTGTATTATCAAGTGAAAATAAATATTTAACTCACTTTCCATATATTTCGATAATTCGGTTTCTGGTTTCTTCGTTGTATTCGTGCTTAATATGCTTTAGCACTTTAACTTCATTTTCAGCAATTTTTTTGCGGGTTTCAGTGATGAACTTTGTAATTTTTAAGGCTACACAACGATTAGTTTCTACAGAGTACGCATGATAAATCTAAATTAATATTCGTGACTGATATACAAAATTATATAGAAAGTTGATTTTGGCTATTAATCAACAGTTTTTTTTACTATTAAATTTTATTAATAAAAATTTAATATTAATTTTTAATTTTATTATTAAATTTATTATGTATTAATTATTAAAAATTTACTAGTTACCTCTCCAAATGCACCCTGACCAATTTTATAATTTTCATCTAATTTATAGAGGATACTTATATCCTCAACTGTCATTATTCTTCCCAAATCAAATCTAAGTCCGTGAACACATTGAAATGTTGTAACTATATTAACAAAACATTTATTAAATTCAGGGTGGCCTTTTTACCCTATTTATAGAGGATTTCCCCTATTTTTGATCTTTTCACCCCATTTTTTCCATATTTTGTACAAATGCCATATTTATCCCTATTTTTATCAATTTTTAAAATTTCAAGATGACGACAGTCATCTTGACGTGGTTGTGGTCGTCGACAGTCATCTTGACGTGGTCGTGGTCGAAGACGGTCATCTTGACGTGGTCGTTGTCGAAGACAGTCATCTTGACGTGGTCGTGGTCGAAGACAGTCATCTTGACGTGGTCGTGGTCGACGACCGTGGTCGTGGTCGAAGACAGTCATCTTGACGTAGCCGTGGTCAGGGGTGGGCGCATTGCGTTTTGCGTTTTGCGTTTTTTGCGTTTTGCGTTGATTTTTGGCCTTGCGTTGCGTTTTGCGTTTTGCGTAAATTTGGCCAAAATTAACGCAAAAAATCGCAAGAAATATACCCAATCTGAGGGCAAAATCTGAAGGAAATCAGGCTTATGACTTTCCAAAATTCTCAAAATTTTCGCCTGCGGCGCTTAAAAAAGGAAGAAATTTGGCTTCTTGGTCCCAAATTTTTCAAAATTTTCGCCTGCGGCGCTAAAAGTAGATCATGGAACTGTCAGAAAAATATCAGTTCAATATCTTGAGCTCCGATCTCCCTTTATCCCTCCAAATCCGCTGATATCCGCGGTATCAATTGAGAATTACAGAGAGGCATTTATCCTCCTATCTCCCCAACCCATCCGACATTCATCAGTAATCGCATGGTATCTTTTTAAATTTCCTTGATCCCTCCAATTTTCCTCGATCCCTCCTTCATAATCGCTCTAAATCCTCTAATATCCTTCATAATCCCATTGTATCCCCTTCAAATCATTACCCATCCAACTTAATTGTATCACAAGATCAACTAGGACTCGCTGACTTATAGTAATACTTCTATTTTAACTGAAAAATGGCTAATACTCGATTTAAAAATTTTTTTCAGAATTTTGCGTTCTTGCGTTTTGCGTTTTTTGCGTTTTGCGTTGATTTTTGGCCTTGCGTTGCGTTTTGCGTTTTTCACGATTGCCTCTTGCGCCCACCCCTGGTCGTGGTTAATGACAGTCATCTTGACGTGGTCGTAGTCAACGACAGTCATTTTGACGTGGTCGTGGTCGACGACCGTGGTCGTGGTCGAGGACATTCATCTTGACGTTGTCGTGGTCGACGACCGTGGTCGTGGTCGAAGACAGTCAACTTGACGTGGTCGACGACCGTGGTCGTAGTCGAAGACAGTCATCTTGACGTGGTCGTGGTCAACGACAGTCATCTTGACGTGGTCGTGGTCGAAGACAGGCATCTTGACGTGGTCGTGGTTAACGACAGTCATCTTGACGTGGTCGTAGTCAACGACAGTCATCTTGACGTGGTCGTGGTCGAGACCGTGGTCGTGGTCGAAGACAGTCATCTTGACGTGGTCGTGGTCAACGACAGCCATCTTGACGTGGTCGTGGTCTACGACGGTCATCTTGACGTGGTCGTCGACCGTGGTCGTGGTATTTTTGAGCACCTGCGCCCTATTTTAGTGGTTTGGAAAAGGCCACCCTGATTAAATTAATTAAAATTTTTATTTTTGAATTACCAGTTGTGTTATCTTGTTGATGAGTACTTAAAGATTTAAATAATATTATTAGAATTAATTAATTTGTTAATTAAAATAAAAAAAACTTTCTGAGATTATCAGACAAAAAATACTTAATTAATTTTTTTAAATAATGTTTACCCGCTAGTTGATGGAATGTTGGCAAGGATTTCTGATTGCTGAACATCATTTTTATCTTTACTAGTTATACATCCCGCAAGTGATGCTGAAAGTATAAATAGCTATATTATTTATAAATTATTTAATTTGATGTATAACTATGAAGTTTTTATATTTGATTATAAATTAATGAAAAGATTTAGAGCAAAAATATGAAATTATACTTCAATTATATTAAATTATATCATTGAAGAAATCATAAAATTGGTAAGGAATAAAAAATAGAAGAAAACAAATTTTAATTACAATTCTATTATAATTTAAAAAATTGAAGAAAACACAAAATTTAAAAAACGTCAAGAAAAATATTTAGCAAGAAAATATCTAGAACTTCTAATTTTTACATGAGAGTAATTTGTATAAATACCTGGCAGATGTTGTAATAGTAAAATAAACGGTAGAATCATAAATATTTTAAATAAATACATTTTTAAATAACTAAAAAATTTTAATTAGAAAAATTTAAATAAATTTATAAACAAAAAAGATAAGAGATTAATTTTTTTCTTTGAAATTTTAATTGTTTTTCATTTGTTATTGGGAATGGAAGCGATCCTTTGTGATAGTGTATTTTAAAAAGATGTTTTTAAATTTAAAAATAAATGTTTATTATACATATATTAATTTAAACAACATTAATTAAAGTCTAATTAAATTAATTAATTTTAATGATTAATTTTATTCAATAACTAAAAATTTTAATTTAAAAAATTTTAAATAGAAAATCGAAGACTATCGAGAGAATGGAGGTAATAATATAAGTCTGTCGAGAGAATTATTTAAGAAGGAGAGTGAGGGGGGGGGGAATTTTAATTCAATAAAAAAATTGTATGTATGTGGCAAACATTTACTTGGGGAAAAAAATTAAGTTTAATTTTATTGAAAACCAATAAAGTAAAAATCTGAAAGAATTCCTGTAGCGGTATTCTAAGAACGAGGTAGTTCTAGAAATTTTTATTATTTATCTCAACAAAGAATTTTTTTTAAGAAATTGTATATATAGCCTATTTTATAGCAAATTTTATGGGTTTTAATACATAATGGAAGAAAATTTTTATCTGGGTCAGCTGGACCAAAATATTTTTCAAAATCAAATCACCCGCAAATCACCGCATTTTCCGTTGATTTTGGAGCTCGACATCTCGATGATGTGGTGAGTTTAAAATATTCGTTTGTCATTCTTCATCATATCGATAGGTAAGACTTCAGGAATTTTTCATGTCTCTGCTCAGATTAGGGAACAAACCGTTAAATACAATGTGTCAATAAACTTTAAGACCACCTATAAATTTTAAGTTTTTCCAACTTAACGTAAGTCTCGACAATGAAATTTTACACAACTGTTTCTTATTATAAAGAAAAATTCAAAAGATCTGCAAAACTTTCTGTAAACTTATCTATTCATATCAATAGAAAATACAAAAGAAAAGAAGTTATATCTTACTTCCTTCGTCGAGATCTGGAAAAGCGAAAATCAACGGAAACAGGGGGTAAACGTCTTTAAATCATATTTTCTACCCCTTATAGACCGTAATAAATTTTTATTTTATACTTTTCTGAAAGCCCTTTAAGTAATCTATAAGATAATTGATATGAATAGATAAGTTTACAGAAATTTTTGTAAATCTTTTGAATTTTTTACAATAGAAAACAGATGCGTAAAATTTCATTGTCGAAACTTACATGTAAGTTGGAAAATTTAGAAATTATAGGTGGTATTAGAGTTTTATTAACACACTGTATGTACAAAATAAATTAAATTTTTTGTAATTAACTATTAACAAATAGTTATGTAGAGAGTGATAGAGATAATGTGCATACTCTGTTTGCAGAATTAAATAACATGCTGATTTAGGATTTACAAGTAATCGCCTCTTTATAAAAAATTTTTTGAAATAACTTTTATCTATGAAAAAATTAACAAATTGAAAATAACACATTAAACCAAAAATAGAATGGATTTCTTAATAAAGTCTAAATAGATTTTTGTTTAATATAAAATAATCAGAAAAGATTAAAAATTCCCAAAGTAAAAAAAAGAATAGATAAATCACAAATTTCTTCTAAAATAATTTCGTTTGTCGGCAAATGTCCACAAATTTAGTTAAAATTGTAAAATAAATTATAAAATAAACTTTGTATTTTCTTATATTAAAGGATTCTTGGTATCCGATAGCATTTTATCAGAAAACATGAAAAAGCCTACCGAAGAGGAGTGAGAGCAAGAGACGACCCCAAAAACCAGAAAATGCAAAAATAAAATTTTTTTACTGTAATGTCATCTACAATAGAGGGCTTGCCAAATCTTTGTAAATTAAATTAGGTTTCTGATAATTCCGATTTAATAGTCAGGATCATACAAATCTCTTGGTTCCGGCAAATTTTTTGTATGATTCCTGTCCTTTATTTCCTGCGAAACTGTTACTTATTTACATCATTAGACCCTTTTAAGGAAAGTCGGACGGTGTTAGGATAATGCAATGCGCTCTGCTCTTCAAATAAACAATACAAGCAAAAAATAGTTTTACATTTCAAAACCTTGCCTTAAAATATACCATCATTTAGAAAAACTTAAATATTTAGAGTATTCTTTAAGGACTGAGCCTAACAGAAAAATAGAGGAGTATAAACTAAATTTGAAGACATTTGCCACGATACATTTTAGATTCATTCTATGCGTAAATCTTTACATCCAACACCACTCTCGTATTCAAATACTTTCAATTCTGTCGTTAAGAAACTTGAGAATATCCAACATAGAAGGACGCGTTTTTGGACTAATTCGAATGCAAGCCTTAATAATTATTTTAATTTTTTAAGTAAATATATTAATAAAGATTTATTTATTTAATGAATCATAAAAAAATTTTCGGATAAACCCCAATAATTAAACAATTTAGACAATAAGGTAAGCAAAAATCCAGTAAATTTTTATTAAAAAATTATATGGGCTAATATATAAGTAGGCTCAAAACTAGTAGGGTTGTAGGTTGCTAGTAGGTTGCTAAAAACTAGCAGGGTTGCTCACGACCGGTTATTAACCATACTCTCGGTTTTCGGTGAATCCAAATTTTAAAAATCGGTTTTCGGTTTTGAGTTTTTATGTTGGGGGAATTTTAATAAAATCACTCATTTTCAGAAGTTTTCGGTTTTTTAAATTTTGTAAAATCGGTTAATTTTTGGCAAAAAATATCAAAATTTTCGGTTTTAAAGCCGGTCGTGAGCAACCCTACTAACTACTAAAAAATTATTTACTAGAAATTGCATAATTAGCTTATTGGATATTTAATTTTTAAAATTAATCTAAATTGCTATAATTTAAATTATTAATTAGTTTTGCTTACCTTTATAACAATATCTAATTTAGTGTTTGCATTAACATTGTTGCGATACATTTCCAATTCATTGTCGAGCAGCTCATAACGATCATTCATTTCATCCAATTCACTTAAATTTCGATTCTTGGTGTAGAAAAGACAGTAGATCATTAATCCAAAAGCCCAAACATCCGCTTTGCGTGTAACCTTTTGGATTAAAAATCAAAAGATCTAAACTACGTAGAAATTCTGTCTCTTATTTAAGATTTGTGTTTAATTGATAAAATGATATAATTTCTTATTAATTTTCCTTTAAGTTTTTTCATTTAAAACTTATGACATTGACAGTAATATGTTTAATTTAAATTTAAAAAATAATTTTAAAAAATGTATTAAAGAATTACCATAACATTTTGATGTATATCATCTTCACGAATCTCTGGAGCTTTAAAAATAAGAGTTCCATAAGCTGGAGATGATTTTGAATTCGCACCCTCTAACAGAACGGAAGCATTGAAATCGATGAGTTTAAAAGCGATGACATAATGGTCATCCTGATTGGGAGAAACAACGAAATTGTTTGCTTTTACGTCCAAATGGACAGCATCTTAAATTTAAAAATTATCTTAAAATAAAGTCGAATAATTTTGACGTTGATGGAATTGATTAAGTGCTCGACCAGCTCCCTTGATAGCTTCGATAAGAAGTTTCTGAATTAATTCACCGCCATTGACGTCTTGTGAAGATAATCCAGCGTCTCTAAACTTTTGAACAGCATAATCATTTAAAGTCTGTCCACCAAGCTCCATCAATGTATACATTTTCCACTCAGTATTTTCAACTATTTCCACACTTAAAATTTTTTATTTAAATTGAAGAATTTATAAAGCGGCAATTTATAATAAAGAACCAGAAAATGGAATAAATGTGTAATTATGTATATGTAATTATGTAATTACATAATTACATAATAAATAATTATGTACTACATATGTATGTTATTTATTTTATAATTTTTCTTGAAATTTCTTATAATTAAATATATATGTGTAATAATAACGAAACGATGAAATTAAGGGGTAAATTCCCCTAAATACTAGTAAAACCGTGGCGCGAACTTTGCGGACCCGAATTTTGCGGACCCGAACTTTGCGGACCCGAAATTTGCGGAACGAAAGTTGCGGACCCGAAGTTTGCGGACACGAAGTTTGCGGATCTGATTTTTGCGGAACCAAGATTTTAAGCCCGACACTTGAGTAAAAAGGAAAAATTAAAAATTTTATTTTTCGAGGATTCTGGCAGAGTTTACCATAATCCGTACCGGATTCGAGATTTTTTCTTGATTTTTCAAAATTTTTATCAATTTTTTATCTTAAAATTATTTCATAATTTAGATAATCAAGAAAATTCCTTAAATTATCATTTATATGGCCATTTCATAAGGTCATGATGCCAAAATTTATCTTAATTAACGCCGCAGGCTAAAATTTTTGAAATTTCCGAGGTTCAGTAGACTCTATTGTCGGTCCGCAAATTTTTGGTCTGCAAATCTCAGATCCGCAAAATTCGGGTCCGCATAGTTCGGGTTCGCAAATTTCAAGTCCGCAAAGTTCGGGTCTGCAAATTTCGGGTCCGCAAATTAAAATCCGCAAATTTCGGCGCGCCAGTAAAACATCAGGGCTGGGCGATTTCGCATTTTCGCGTTTCGCATCTTTCGCATTTTTCACATTTTTTGGCGCAAAAAGTTTCGCATTCCGCATTTCGCTTTTTGGTCCAAATGCGAAATTTGTTTCGCCTTTTTGATTTAGTATTTTATTTTTTTAGATATTTTTACATTAAATTTTTAAAAGAAAAGGGAAAGAAATGGCGGTACGACAATTGAGGATACGCACTTGAGGATATGACAAATGAGGACGACATTTGAGGACGATAATTGAGGATCTGACATATGAGGACGACAAATGAGGACGACATATGAGGATTTGACAAATGAGGATAAAAATGAAAAATAAAAAAAGACTTGAAAGATCCATAAACTCGGAAGACCCCCACTTGGAAGACCAATAATGAAGAATTCTTCTCTTTCCAGCGCCGTAGTCGAACATTTTTGAATTTCAAAAGGTCAAGGATCACCTTTTTTTATTATTATTTTAATCCTCAATTGTCGTCCTCATTTGGCATATCCTCATATGTCGTCCTCATATGTTAGATCCTCAATTGTCGTCCTCATTTGTCATATCCTCAAGTGCGTATCCTCAATTGTCGCAACACCAAAGAAATATAGAAAAATTATTCCATCATTTATTTAGTTGGTCGATGGTGGAGTGGTTAAGTTGACTGACTTCGCTTTCTTTGGTGTTTTTTGGGGCTGGGTTCGAATCCAGGGTTTGGAAATAGATAATTTTTTCTTCCAAAAATAAAAATTTTTAAATTCTGATTTTAATTTTAAATTTGTAAATTTATTTTTTTTAATATGTCAAACCTGAAAAACATTAAAAATTCTAATTTAGTAATGAATTTTCAAAAATTTTCGCCTGCGGCGCAAGAAAGGGATTTGAGATTAAGAGGGATGTCAGAAGATTAAGATCTGAAGCGTTCCTTGGAAGAATTATTGCTCCTTAGACTTCAAAATTCTCGGAATTTTGCCTGTGGCGCAAAAACTGGAAATCGAGTACGAGCAATTTTCACTATTCTAAATAGAGTTGAGCGGGATCGGGATCCCGACCCAAATCGGGATCGGGATTTTGGAATAACAACCCCTAGCCCGGTCTTGACTACGGGTCAGGATTGGTCGAAATCGGTATCGGGATTTAAAATAATGACCCCGATCACGAACTCGAATCGGAACCTGCAATGCCCCGAACCTTCAATGCCCCCTATGGTTTTTCGATATTCGCGAACCTATATCTCGGTTGACAGGGAGTTCAGTGAATAGAGAGTGGTATCGTTCGACTCAGCTCGCCGAGACAAATCGAATTGTTGTGTTTCTTATCGAAATTTTGCCTCCGGTATACTATACTAATTTCAAAATTTTTCTAAATTTTTTTAACTAATTTCGCATTTTCGCGTTTCGCATCTTTCGCATTTTTCACATTTTTTGGCGCGAAAAGTTTCGCATTCCGCATTTCGCTTTTTATTTTTTTAAAAAAAGTTTCGCATTCCGCATTTCGCTTTTTATTTTTTGATTTCGCCCAGCCCTGTAAGACATCTCATAGAATATTTCTAGTTACTCGATCAATTGTTAGCTTACTTTCGATAAATTTTTATAATAAATGTTGATTGTTTCTCATTGACCACATTTTTAAAATAAAGTAAGAGTGCGGGCATAGAGGGGACGAGCAGAGGTATTCGGTGGATCGCTGCCAGAGTAGTTGGGTGAATGACTGTTGGAATAAATCTTCTGTGCCTGGCCAGGGCATGAGTAGTTGTTGTCATTCCATAATTAAGTGTTGCCGTAGGAAATATGAATGTCGGAGTGAGGGAATTACAAGAGGGAGACCGCGGTGATAATAATTAGTTTATAGACGTCTCATGCATGGATTAAATGTTCAGAGGGATTAATAAGTGAATGGGCGCTTGATTGAATGAATAACTATCACTGTCCTTTCAGTGGTAGCTTCCTTTCCTTTTATGCGACTAAGCTTTACATCTATTTACGTGGGCGTGCTGGGAATTAAATTTTAAATTTATCTGTACTCTGCTCATCACCTTACACGCCCCACCCCAACAGGTCCGGTCCTCCGGGCCAGAGATGGGCAAAAACAAATTTTCACCTCAACAAAATGAAAACGGACAAAAATATATTTTTAACAAAATACAAAACGAAACGAAAAAATTATTTTTAGACAAAGTACAAAACGAAAAATTTCTGCCCCTCTCTGCTCCGGGCCCATTCTTTATTTTCGGCATTCTCTGGCCACATGTCCTCTTTGGCCGCAGCGTTGGCATTCTTTTGGCCTCCATTCTCGCTGCGAGCTACTTTGCCATTCTGTGTATCGTGTTGGGCCTGTTTGAGGTTGGGATATTTGATTAGTCTGACCTGTATAGAATCTTTCATCCCGGACCGAAGCTCCTTTTAAGTGGAGGAGTCCATTGACATATTCTGCTTCAGAGTTAATCATTGCTCTGCAGTAATGTGTGGAATCCGCGACAATGGTAAATTCCAAGGCCTTCCTAAGGAAACGACTCCAAATCCCTTCCTGTTTCATTAAATACCTTAAATCACCAATCAAGATTAATGCGTGTTTGCCACGCGACAAAGCAACGTTTACCCGTGCGGGGTCAGCCCAAAACTCTCTGGAATTATCTACCGTGGTGTTTTCTCCCCTTTGAGTTGCTGTTGTGACTACTATAGCAAGATCAGTCTCGTGACCCTGCATGGCGTCTGCCGAGAGTGTTTGTATACCTGGGAGTTCCCTATCCGCAACTTCACGCCCAATTTCAGTTGCCTGTGCAGCGTAAAGGCATATTACTCGGATGCTGCCTTTAAATCCGATGGCACTTAGTGCCTCAAGAATCTGGATTGTGGTGCGAGTCTGGCCTGAATTAGTGGAGCTGAAGTTGGTGTCTTGGGCGAGCATGGGGGAGGTTTGATTTAGAAGTATTAGCGGTGAACCAGCGACCGGGACGAAAAAGTTTTTCATATTCAGGAGCATAGAAAAGTCTCCCCCTTCCCTAGGCAATAGCATTTGCTTCGCAGGTATGTAAGCTCCCGCCTCTACACACTTAACAATCTGGGGATGGGACCGGAAATTTACAATGAGAGTTGTTTTGTCAATACCTTCCGACGAGTCAAAACTTTCAATACACGTGTCCAAACCATAATTTTCTCTAACCGCTTCAGGCAAGCTTATTAAATGTACCTTTAGTTGGAACTTGTCCCCCGTGACCAAGACCTTTCTTAATTTTGGGAAAAATGTCGTTACCGACAAAAATTGTGAAAAGGGCGCTTGTCCAGCTTCATCCAAAATCAAAATTTCAGTTTCGGGAAAAAGCTTGCATAGTTGTTCGGTAAGTCCCAACGTAAGAAAGATCACTCGCCTTTTTACTTGTTCAAGGAGTAATTGGGCGATTGCCCCTTCGGATGCAAGTCTGGGATGAGATATACAAGCTTTTTTGTATCTATCAACTTTCTTCAAGTCGGTAAGCTCAAGTTTGCTGGTAAATTCGGGAGAATCTACTGCATGAGCCAATAGGTGTGTGGAAATGCTCTCAATTTGTTCCTTATATCGAGTTTTCCCGTTACCGGAAAATAAAGCCAATACAGGCTCGTGGATTCCCTCAATTTTCATGGCTTCCTCTAATTCTAGACACATTTTTACAACAGCTATGTTCAACGGAGCCATACATAATATGTGCGCTTCTGGAAACATTTTTATCGTTGCCGCTACTATTGACATCGCTGTGTACGTTTTGCCGGTTCCGGGGGGTGCTTGTTGAAACACCCCCCGGGGCCGTTCGTCAAGCATTAGCATAGCAGTGTCACCTTGACTTGTTTGTAAGCGGGCTAGGACCGGATGGGATTGTCTTAACTTCTTCATATTAAGTTTAGGGTATTCACTTTTCTCAGCAAGTCCTAAAAGAATTTTGGTTACTTTACCTTTTGGCGTGTCCATAGAGGCTATTTCAGACAAGAGGTTATACGAGAATGACTCCATACGCATTTCTAAAGCATTTATCGAGGCTGTGGGACTTATTTTTATTTCTGCGCCCTCTTTAATCATTTCAAAATCAGATTCGGCATCGTATTTACGCGCGGGCTGGAATGCAAGCAGAAGTTTGGCTTTAAACATAAAGCCTTCATAGTATACAGACCGTTCATTTTCGAGAACATACCCGCTGGCGCAGGGTTTTGCCTCAGGGTAATTTAGTTTGACCGATATAGGGCAGTCCTCTTGCCACACTTCCGCAAACCTAACAAGCCTGTTTTTCGTATTAATAAGGTACTCAAAATTCATAATAATTATGTTGCCTTTTACCTCTTCTATCATAGGCACTACCTCTACTTGAGCCTCCTCTAGATCAGTTAAAGTTTTATCAATTACCGCAGCTACAGCAGCCCCTAACAGCTTTTCGCTCACCTTTATTTCTTCAGTCGACATTTTTGAATTAAATGGGTAGGTAAATTTTGTATTTAATTTACTTATACTTATAATGAGTTGTGGCTGATGGACTTTCCTATCTTCAATGGTTCCATGTATTGAGTTAGCCGGTAAAATGTATCCCCCTCCTTTGGCTATTTTTAGGTCTGAGGGTCGTGTTATCTCCACCATATCAAGAGTAACCGGGTCCTTTTTGATTCTCATGGTTAGATCATCGGACATTTGCCATTTAAATATTTTTTGAGAACAAGTTACACCAGCTCCTATTACGCTTATATACCTGAGTTTTCCAGTCTTTTTACACATTTGAAAGTCTAAAGCTATCCCTGGAACCTCTCTTTTACTCAATTGAAAAATGGACTTTACTCTGGTAGCTTTAGCCATGCACAAAAATCTCCCTGATTCTTTGAGACGTTTAGCGATCATCTCGGTCTCAGATAGATTATTTAGGCGAAACTCTAGAGGGGTACAAGATATAACTTCTACGAGGTCTCCCATCCGTAATGGGCGCCTCGATCGCTCATCTTTAGATGCCCATTCTTGATCAACCAAAATAAAATCTGGCCAATCCTTCGGTCCTTTTCCTACTGGGGTAACGGTTACATTTTGCTCAGACGTTTGACAAACGATACAATTATAGCTTTCATCGTCCATAATCACGTCCTCCTCCATTTTCTCGTCAAACCCTTGGTTTGCGAATTTTTCAAGCATTTCTTTTTCCATTTTGCCAATATTGGCATCAGAAGCTTTTTTCAAGATTATCGTCGCGTACGACGCATTTTTAGTAAAATCTACCTCATTAATGACCTCCAGAGCTTCAGAAATTTGATGATCTGTCAAGTCCATATCGGACTCATCAGGCCCAGGAGCCAGTAAATCGGCCTCCATATTTTCAAGCAACCCAATCCTTTCTTTAATTTGATCAGATTTTTTGTTGCTCATTTAATTAAATCAGAAAAAAATTTTTTTTATTTGATTTGTCTGAAGAATAAATGATTTAAAATTTTAGAATGGAGAATTAAAAAAAATCAAACAGTTTGTTTATAAGGAAAATTCTGGTATGAAATAATGTTATGAGTGGCATGTGATAGAAAATTAAATCAAATTTTATGGCCTTTTTTTTAATTTTACTGTTGTTCAAACAGTTTTCCCAAATATTTTCCTGTTTTATATTTACCAGTATGTATGGTTTAATTGGGCCATAAAACTGTTTATTTTTTTTTTGAGAACGAGAAAAAAAACTATAAAGTCGAGAACATAAAAAAAATTTTACGAGAGTAATTTCTTTTAAAACCATAAATATATATTTTTGGATTTTAAACTGGTTCCCTTAAAATTTAATTGACTAGATTTTTGTAAAGGTTTGGAGAACAATAAAAAACCTAGTATTACCATGTCAAACGCCCTGGAGAATTGTTTTTGATTTATTTAAAGCTTTAGAATTTTTAATAAGGGATAAGAGAAAGAGAAAAACATGAATAACGCGTTATGAATTTAAATCACACTTACAAGATTAGCCTAGTTAGTAATTTCAGGACTAAAATTAATAAAGAGATTGTTGGGATGTGATTCAATTAAAAAAAAATTTTCGAACTTCCACTATAGTGGTTAGTGTTTTGATCTTTACAAAAATGAATGTTTATTTTTGCAATTTATTTTAATGTTATTCAAAATGAGATTGGTTGTCTGCTTTTTATTCTAAAAGATTTTCTCTCCTCCTTTTTATTCCTAGTTTTTATTTTCCCCTCTATTTTGTAAAATGTTACATTTTAAAGGCTGGTGTGTGAATAATTAATGTCTATTGTAAACACACTTTTTTTAGAAAAAGAATGAAAAATTGTGCTTTGTTTATCCCTTTTTACTCCCCGATAACCTTTGATCAAATGTACATTGTACGGTAATATGTGTCAGTTTTGAGTAAAGCACATCTCTACAATGCTTATTTCTCCTAACAAAAGGTTTAATGGAATATATAATTTTAAATAGGAAGGAGGGAAAAAAATAACATTTTACCAGGTTGAATAATTATATTTTGAATAATGTATACATGTGAGTAATATATATGTTTAAGTATGTTCTAAAAAGTTTCTAAATTAAGTCATAAATTTGAGATGAAATAAAAAATTAAATCATTTCCTCAAAAATCAACAATTAAACTTTATACTTTCAAAATTGAGCTCGCAACTGTAATATTTTTGCTAATATTAATCTTGCACATGTATTTTATTGGGTTTATTCCCTCTTAGAATTTCTTGCTTTCTATTCACTTTTTTTTTGCGTTTTGATTTAATTTAGTTTTGGAGTAGTGGTTAGTGTTATTGCATACATTCTTTGATGGCTGGGTTCGATTCCTTTCGGCGGAAATTGGTTTTTCATTTATTTTTTAACTCTTGTGTCTTTCTTTGTATATTCCTATTTTGCGTCTTAAAAGTCAATGCTAGTATTCTTTTGATTTTACCGTTCACATTTTGGATATTGAATGCTGTGAAAATTATTTTGTGTTGTAGCCTAGTTTTTCCCTTATTCAAGATTTAGCGCGTTTGCCGCGGCTCTATTACTTTCGTTTCTTTTTTGTTTAAGAAAGGGAATTGATTGATTTAAATGAGTTTCATTATTCAGCTTACTTCCTTTTTTGGTTTGCAGAGATATTAAATGTATGTACATCTCATTCGATTAATCCTGGTTTCTTTTTATTTAACCGTTTCTAAATTTTGCTGGTAATTGTATTTTCTCTCTTGGCCTCAAGGAGTATTTTATTTTGTCCCCTACATTGTCTTGTCTTGTTTCTTCTTCGTTATTTACTAACTCGGGTCTAGCTGGATGTGAGTGACCGGGTTTGTTGGTAATCTCCTTAGCGCCCGATTTCTCTAATATAACCTCTTCATCGCTCGGTATCTTAGGTACTGTACAATTTGGTCCTAACTCTTCAAAACACTTTTTTATTTGATTAATGTGTACTCGCTTTGGGTTAGATTGAGGCGACACACAACTGGTGATTGTGACGTGTACTCCCTCTATTTCAATTACACGATAAATACCCTTCCACGGTAAATTGAATTTTTTAGATGTTCCCTTTTGTCCCGAGTAATTCCTTAATAAAACCCTATCCCCTATCTTTATTTCAAGAGTTCTCTGCAATTTGTCATATTGTTCCTTCATTTTCTCTTGGGCCTCTATGCTTGTTTCGGCAGTTATCCTCCAGGCCTCTCTTAGCGTAGTGACCAACTTGGTTTTAAATTCTGCTTCCTCACTAATTGCAACTGGAATATGAACGCGCGTATCTAATATCTGATCGATACAAAAAATAGGATCTCTTCCAAAAACTAAGAAAAAGGGAGATTCGCCTGTTGATGTGTGGCAGGAGGTGTTATAGCAAAAGCTTGCGAAATCTAGAAATTCGTCAAAATCTGGGGTGTCTTTTGTTACATATTTCGCTAAGATATTATTAAATGTTCTAAAACTACGCTCGGTTATAGCGTTTCCTTGTGAAAAATATGGCGTGGCATATGTCTTATTTATATAAAGTAGTGCGCAGAATTCTTTAAAAAAATCACTTGTAAAAGCTGTAGCGTTGTCGCTAATTAATTCTGTACATCCGCCGAATTTTAGGTAGCAATTCTTAAGGAATTCTAGAGCTATTGTTCTAGCTTTGGAGTCTGGTAGAGGGACGGAAACGACGTACTTGGTAAACCAGCAAATGACATTTAAAATATATTTATTCCCTCTAGTCGTAATTGGGAAAGGGCCTGCTAAATCAAGGCCAACTTTTGCAAAAAGGGTATTGTTTGGGACAATTTGCATTTCAGCCCTATATGAAGGTGTCGGGTTATGTTTTAGCTGGCAGGTGATACACTGACGCGTCCAGTTTGCTATGTCTGAATATAATTTAGGCCAATAATATTTTTGGCACTTTCTTATTGTTTTTCTTACACTCAAATGTCCGCCACCTAGCAAGGAAGAGTGGAAAGAATCAAAAACTAAAGCGCGTAGTGAGATCGGTATATAAATTTTGGGTGGCTGCAAATGTGCTTTGTAATACAAAATTCCTGAAATTAAGCTTAAATTTGAGGCTTGCGCTGTAAAATTTTCTTTTTCGAGTTCAGTAAACCCGTTTGGTATTTCTCCCGTTCGAAGAAATTCAATATAAGCTTTAGCTTCAGGATCACTATTTTGTTCTTCTTCTAAGTTTATTTTGTAAGAATTTCCGTCTTCGTGTCTTATTGTAATTGAGTTAACAAAGGGGTCAAAGACGAGTCTGGATTTTGTTTGGAGAGCCATGCAAATAGGGAATTCTACTATATCCTCTATTTCTTTTAAATTTTCAACTTCTTTTAAGGGAATATCTTCCGAGGACCTAGATAGCGCATCTGCCAGGGAGTTTTGTTTACCTGCTACATGGACAATTTTTATTTGGTAGTTTTGCAGCTCTATAAGCCAGCGTGCTAGGTGAGGGTGAGTGTCAGACTTTTTAAGTAGATAGGCTAGTGGCTTGTGGTCCGTATGTAATTCTATATCGCTCATGAAAATGAAGGGTTTAAATTCCCTTAGGGCATAAATTATAGCGCACATTTCGACTTGTACTGTAGGCCAGCGTCTTTCAGAAGCTGAAAGGGTGCGACTACAATATGAAATCGCTGAAAAGGTCCCACTTTCTTTATTTCGCTGCATTAAAACACCACCCATACCGAAATTTGATGCGTCAGTGAATATGTGGAATGGCTTATTATAGTCAGGTACTACTAGATTAGGTGCTTCAGAAAGGAGATTTATTATTTTCTCAAAAGCTTTTTGTTGATCAGAACCCCACTCGAATTTTGACTCTCGCCTTGTGAGGCGCACAAGTGGCTCGCATAAAGTTGCAAAATCCCTTATGTGCCTCCTATAGAATCCTATTTTCCCTAGCACTCTTTTAACTTCTTTAACATTTTTAGGAATAGGTGTTTCTTTTATTAATTCAATTCTACTCAGAGTAGGCTTATATCCTTCCGAAGTTAATGTGTATCCCAAAAAAATCATTTCCTTAGTGGCAAATGTGCACTTCTTTGGGCTTAGTTTTAAATGATAAATTCTGAATCTTTCGAAAACTCTTCTCAAGGAAGCTAGATGTTCTATAAATGGACCTGATTTTGTATAGACCAGAATATCATCTACATAAGAGATGGCACAGTCTTCTAATCCACAAAGAACTACGGCCATAGCTCTTGAGAAAGCAGCAGTTGCATTCTTTAGTCCAAAAGGCATATAGAGCATTTGATATACGTTTTCTTCTGTTATAACCCCACATTTCCAGGACGTCTCTTCACTTAATTTTATTTGCAGGTAACCGCTTGAAAGATCCAAGGAACTATAATATTTACAACTTCCTACCCTTTCCATAATAGAATCTAGTCTTGGTAAAGGATATCTGTCGGGGATTGTTATGTCATTTAACTTGCGAAAATCGAGGCAAGGACGAATCCCGCCGTCCTTCTTTTGTACAATTACGAAAGGAGTAACCCACGGAGTTTCGGATTCTATCATAATACCAGAGGACAATAATTTATCAATATGCTTTTTAAGTTCCTCCTTATATTTATATGGCATCTTCCGAGGAGGAGAAGTGATTGGTTCCTCAGTAGTGGTAACTATATTATGGTCGCCTCCCGTAAATGATCCAAGATCATATTGAGATTTACTGAAAATGTCCTCAAACTCATTTAATAGATCTTTTAATTGGTCAAATTCGTTTCCCTCTACTCCAGATTTGGATAGATCAATTTTGTAATTGGGGTCTATTTCAGCTTCTATGTCTATTTTTGCTTTCTTTTCAGGTTCTTCACTAAACGAACCATCTTCGTTCATTTTTATTTCATTAACATAAGCAAGATGAGTTCCTTTAAAAATTATTTTGGGTTCATTTGTAGGGTTTATCAGTGCTAACGAGATTCTGTCCGCGTACGGACCACAGATTGACGGAACTAATCCAATATGTGAGTTAGTCAGGTTTTTATCCGGATAGTCACTTGCCAGATAACCTTTGATTGGAAAATTATAATCCAATTCTGCCTCAATAATAGATTGACTGTTAGGGTATATGGTTAAATTTTGTAAAGCTCTTGCGCGAATTCCACTAGCTAGTTTATTTTCACTTAAAACTTCTATCCATTTGCCGTTTAGCATTAATCTTTTATTGTCATAGTCAAATGCTATTAAATGGAATTTACACAGTGTGTCCCCACCTAACAGTATTTTATATTCCTTATTGTTAAATCTCTCATCATCCACAAAGTTGATTGTCATGTTTACTTTAGAGCCTGCTATATTTAATATCGCTTCGCCTTTTTCGCGGGCCGCAATTACATGGCCAGAGGCACTTACTGCCTCCATCTTTGCTGGATTAGTTTTACAATTTATTAAGTCAATTAATGATTTAGGAGCTACCGTAACCGTGGATCCCGTGTCTACTAAACATTTTATTGGTATAGAATTTATTTTTGCTTGAATTATAGCAGAGAAAGTGCACCCGGGTCCTTTATTTTGTCCGGTTAATTCGTTTAATTCCTCTCTATTTGTTTGTTTGTTTGCAGAAGAAATTATTTGGATGGGCGTAAATTTAAGCTCGGTCATATTTTCATCTTTAACTGTTTGGGTTTCCTCTTTAATTATTTTTAGTGGCTTATCAATTACATATGAGGCTCGTAAAATGAAGAAAATTCTTAGAAGCATTTCGCCAAAAACTATTATTACCAAAATTGTGATTGTTCCTTTCCAGATTTTGGACCAGTCCCCGAATATTTGTTTCTCTATTTCCTCTCTAACTTGTCCCCAAGATTCTGAAGGAGTTACTCTGGTTTCAGTGTCTTTTGTGTGAATCCTATATGTTATTTCGCTTGCTCTTAATGTGCTAGCTATGTGAGTGTGCGTTATGAAGTCAGTTACATTATTTATTACTAAATGGTGAAAGGACTGAGTAGAAATCTTTGGAATAGTAAGCGATGCGAATGTTAAATTTGTTAATACATTGGTTTCTAATTTCTTTACTTGGGCAGTCATTTGATCTATTTCCAGAGTTTCATCCTCAAGTTGGATTATTTGGTGTCTGTATTCGAAACACGGGGCTTTTCTAGCGTCTGCTACTACTTCCATTCTTGCTGGGTCAATAAATACAATTTTGCTTTCACTGCCAGCTTTGAACTTAATTGGAATTTTATCAAAGCATATTCCTTTTTCAAGGCTTGTTTCCCCGTGCGTTATAAAGTCGTATTGATCTCGGTTAATTGAAACGCAGGGCCAGATTTTAATTATTCCAGAGCTTACCCTTTTCGCATGAATTAGAGGGTTTTCAAAAATAACCCGTGCAAAAGTGGTTGGATCGGTAAACGCGGCAGAGATTGCCCAGCGCCTAACTTCTTCTAAGTGATTGCAAATCGCATGCAGCGAATGAGTGAATGAAACACGCATGGTCTGGGCCATCTTCCAACTTAGGTATGATAATTCGGATTGTAGTTGTGCTGATGTTACTATACCAGAGATGGCTCGCTTTATTCTTCTTTTGTTTTCTTTGTGGACTGCGAAACCCTGGTTGGAAATTGTTAAATTTTTATCGCATACTCTAACTGTTTTAGGAACTTCGGGAAAATCTAGCAATAGCGGTAATTTATCTGCGACCCATGTTTGGCCCATCCTTTGTCCTGACCAGGTTCCTATTGGAATATATTCGCAATTCTTTTCACTATTACTGGGCCAAATAATTTGTGTTTTGTCTTCTAAGTAACAGTTCCCATTTTTAAATGGGCAATGACTTGAGTCTCCTAGGAGAGTTTCTATGTGCGTACTACCAAAGCGCATTGTTATTTTCGTGTTGAATAAATAGCAATTCGTACTACAGACAGTTTCCCAGTTAAATGAGCCTAAAAGCCAGGTCCTTGGAGATAAATTGATTTTCTTATCAGTGTGGTAAAGCCCTTCCTCATTTATTAGAGTTCCCAAACTGCATTTCTTGTGATTTATCATTTGATTGCATTCATGTAAATTTATTTCTAAATGTTCCGGTTCTATTTGTTCAGTAATTGGTACCCCGGAAAGTGAGGTGGATTTCTTAACACATTTATTTACTTTGCGGCAGGCCCATGACGAGATTTCATGTTCATATGGGTTCGGTTTATATACAGTTAGCGATTCTGCTTCGGGGGTTTTCGAGTAATCTATCTTAGTATCTGGGCAGCCAGTAGGTGAAGGCAATGACCAAATTACCCCATGGAGCTGGGTTTGACAAATAATTGGTTGACGTGATATTGGAATAAGATTTTTCGAACCATTAATGGGAGTGACTAATATTAGCATTATTGTTAGATAAAACATCACACGGGAAATTTTTGGACCTATCCCTTCCCAGCTCGAAATTTTTGTATGGGTTTCTTCTTTCCCAACTTTATTTTCTATATTTTGCTTGATTTCTTCCTTTATTGGTTTATTCGATATCTTATCTACTGTGACAAGGGAATTAACAGACGAATTCGCGTCTTTGCTCAAAGGCGATGAATCATGACTGTTTCCTACTCCTAGTTTTGCCAATGCGTGGATTAAATCGCCAGCATCTATTAAAATTTTATTTGAGGGTTCAATGGATCTAATCTGCCCTGTGACCGGTTGCTTTGCTTGTTGGGTAGTATACTTATGAGAATTTGCAGCGTAATTAATTTGAAATCGTGCAAGTCGCTCTTGACAGGTATATGACGTATGCCCTACGCGCTTGCAGAAATTGCATATTGGTCTATTATTCCATTTCCTTTCGTTGCGTTGCTGTTGTCCTCCCCTCCAGTTGTCATTTCTATTATTCCTATTTTGTCGATTAGGAATGTACCGCGCATTTTGAGTGTTTAGCGGAGTAAAATTAGCATTCGGATAATTCCTTCTTAAAGTATTCTGATTTGGGAAAGACCTGGGAGGCATCGAATAGCTTGAGCTTGGCATAGCAGGATTTGTAGCTAACGCGTGAACCGTCTGTGTGAAAGGACTTTGTAGTTGAATTTGGCCTTTATCAGAAGCTAACATTGTTTCTAATTCCTCAGCTTGAGATTTTACCAGATCTAAGTCCTTAGCTTTCGAGAGCCCAACTAATCTAATTAGGAATCCTATGTTGGGTTTTACTCTATCTAGAAATTCTTCACAAATTTTTTCTTTCCTTTGGGTTTCATCTAACGAGGAATTCACTACCTCTACTAATGGAGTGAGTCTTTTAAGGAATTCTGAAACGGTTTCTGTCTCCCTTTGTTTGCAACATGCTAATGTACGTTTAGTTATTTCCCTTCGCTGCGGCGAGTCTAATTTTGAGCGCAGTGCTTTTAATGCTGATTCTAGTGTACTAGTTTCTTGCTGCGTTAACTGTTTAAAGAGTTGTCTTGGGGTATCAGAAAGAGCTAGCTTAAGTCTCGCAACCTTTTCAGGTTCGCTCCATGTTCGACCTGTAGCCCCTACATAGTCACAAAATTTTTCAGCCCACTTATCGTATGCTATAATAGATTCATCAGAAAATGTTTCAATATGACCCGAGTGTGAAGAAATCATGTTTATAGATTCTTTTTGAGTTTCGTCAAGATTAGAGTCTGCTAACAGACTATTGTCTACTATTGTACTATTGTTTGGTCCTAATGTATCGCTTTTAAGAGCTTCTAATCTTTCTACATTCTCCGATAATGAAATTATTTGGGTATTAAGTGTTTTTATGTTGAGGTTTACGTCCTTAGCCATTGTATTAATCTTTTCATAGTTAGTATTAACTTTTCTATTAATAAGTCTTAAGGCCCTATTTACCCCTTCTTCTAACTTAATTACTTCTGAGTGGGCCTTTTCTAAGTCTTGGACCTTAATAGTTTGTTTGGCTTCCCAAAAATGTTTGTCTATTACATTTATTTTTATATCGTCCTCGGTGGACATTTTTCAAGATTTGAGTCTGCTTACAGACTATAAGATAATATATTAAAATAAGAGTGTGCACTAATAATATAATGAAATATTTTAGCGCAGGTTCCAAAAGTTAAGTCAATTCGCAATTAGCTTTTAGGATTTAAAATAATTTATTGAAGTATTTAAGCGCTTTTATTTATTTGTTACAAGTTGATTGCTTGTTGAGAAATTAAAAAATGAGAGAAAGTATGAAAAGCTAATTCCTTTTAAATGAGATTGATAAATCTATTTCGCTTGCTCTAGTGTAATAACAGTTTGTTGATTTTTCAGAGCTTTTTCTTTTATGGACAAAGATTTCTTTATTGTTATCCTACTGAGAAAATATCTTTGTAATAAAGGATTGCTTCCTGTAAAAAGTTTTTTTTTGTTTATGAGAAAAATATTTTAACTTCTCGTTTTTCTGTAAGAAATCTTAAACTAAAGAATATGTGTAATAATGAGCAATAACTATATGTAAATAAAAAATAATGTATAGATAAAAGATCTGAGATAATTGCTCAAGAAATATCGAATATAGAATCCTATAATTAGGTATTTATAAAATTTAATAATGAACTGTCTATTGATGAATTATATAACTCAGTCTAAAAGTTTAGTAATTGTTCCGAACTTAATTTAATTTTAGCAAGAATGAACTCATTAGCGGAACTATAGTAATCTTATTGAAAATATTTTATATATATATATTTATCTTAATTTCAAGATTTAGGTCTGCTAACAGACTATTAAACTCTATATTAATTTCTATTTATCTCGATATTAATTTCTATCTTAATTTTATTTATCTCTATATGAATTTACCTATAGATACCATTCTAAGTAAAAAATTATTATTTTTTTTTAGATATTTACTAAATAAGCTTTTTAATGAATATAATAGCTAATTCCTTATATAATTGACTTAAATTGAATATATTACTGTTCCACAATTTAGAATGATTTGAACAGATTGAATTTCTTGATAAAACTATAGCTATTTACAAAATTAATTATATATATATTAATATTTAGTCAAGATTTATGTCTGCTTACAGACTATCTACTTCTATCTTAATTCTCATTTTAATTTCTATTTATTTCTGTAATAATTTCTATAATAATTTTATTTATCTATATTAATTTCCCTCTGAATATATAATATAAACTTTTATAATTGACTTAAATAAATTATTGTTCCAAAATTTAGGGTAATTTGACCATAATTGAATTTCTTAATGGAACTGTAGCTATTTAGTATAAATTAATCTTATATATTAGTATTCAAGATTAAAGTCTGCTTACAGACTATTTCACTCTATATTTATATAGCGCCAAAAATTATAATATTATTTTTTTTTAATTAAATTTCCCTCTATATATGAAAAGCGCTTAAATTATATTTTTTTTTAATTTTACCCTCAAAAATTAAGCTAAATTCCCATAATACTAATGTCTGCCGGCAGCCGACATCTTTCCTATAATTGGCATTTATACCCCAAAAACTACCTTCTGGTCCGGTGCTACCAGTAAGAGTGCGGGCATAGAGGGGACGAGCAGAGGTATTCGGTGGATCGCTGCCAGAGTAGTTGGGTGAATGACTGTTGGAATAAATCTTCTGTGCCTGGCCAGGGCATGAGTAGTTGTTGTCATTCCATAATTAAGTGTTGCCGTAGGAAATATGAATGTCGGAGTGAGGGAATTACAAGAGGGAGACCGCGGTGATAATAATTAGTTTATAGACGTCTCATGCATGGATTAAATGTTCAGAGGGATTAATAAGTGAATGGGCGCTTGATTGAATGAATAACTATCACTGTCCTTTCAGTGGTAGCTTCCTTTCCTTTTATGCGACTAAGCTTTACATCTATTTACGTGGGCGTGCTGGGAATTAAATTTTAAATTTATCTGTACTCTGCTCATCACCTTACAATAATTAAGCACTTCAACTTCATTTCTTATTAAAAATTTTCGAAAATTCTGATATTCTTCATTCATTTGAAGATCCACACTAGAAACCTTTAATGCCACACATGAATTATCTGTTGGCCAATATGCATGGGAAATCTAGATTAAAATTTAATTTTTTTCAATTAAAATTAGTTAGGAAATAATGAGCTCGTTAAAGTAAATCGAATTATAAAAATTTATAAAAAATATTAACAACATAACTATGTATAAAGGCAATAGTCGATTCTCTGAATTTAAAAATAGCTCATATATTTTAATATATAGAAAATAATTTTGGTTATAAAAAATTAAATATTATAAAGTAGTATATTTACTATGCCAAATCCGCCTTTTCCCATTTCAACAATTGTATTTAATTCTATATTTTCATTCTCTGGCGTGGTCAAATTAACAAAACTATCATAATTAATATTGTTTTGTTGACAACGACATTTGTTTCCACCACCATGTGAGGTTGAAGCAACATCTGATTATGTACGTTTTTTAATTATGATAGTAAATATAACGACCTTTTCCCTGTTTCTTGACATCGAGTCTTTTACTACCTCCACCTTAATATAAAAATTATTTAAAAAATGTTATTAACAGAAAGATAATTTGAGCAATCACAACCAGGGTTTTCATGGCTTTCTAACTGAAACTGTTATTTTTGACGAAATAAAGTTCTTTGTTTTTAGTGTTTAACTTTGAAAATTCGGCTGTTCAGATTAGATAAAAAAATCTCGAATAGAGCCTGGGAACTTGAACGACCGGTATTCTAGTTACACCTTCTCTACGTTGAGACATTCCAATTTCTTGCTGTGTATCATCCTTACCAGCAAGTTTACTATTAAAACAACCAGCAAACGATCCTGAATTAACAATTTAAAAATTTTATTTAGTTTATTTTTACCTGGCAGATAGATTATAACCAATAAAAATTTAAATAATTTCATTTATTTAAATTTATTGCTAATTTTCAAGAAATTTAAAATAAAATTAATTTTGAATAAAAATCTAAATATTAATATCTAAGACCATGTATTACTCTCTCTCTCTCTCACTCCCTGTATTACTTAACTGAGTGAGTGTGATCTGCCCATTTATTACTCTTCGGAGTTAATTTACAATTGCAGCATAAACGCCCCAAAAATGGGGACCTTTTTATTGAAATTGTCATAAATATATTTCCAAAGAAAAATTCCAAAAATTATATCCTACTATGTTATTCTTTCTATTACTCTAATGCTTATGTTGCAAAAACTATTTCTATTTTAAATACTAAATAAATGTTTTTAAAAATATCTGTTATTTAATTTGGTTTTCTGCTTCTCCTCGCTCTATCTCCAAATTTTTGTCGACTCTACGATGGTGCCTAGTAGAGCTGTCCGAGACTCTTGGTCTTGGTCTTGGAACCAAGACTTTTCTTGGTTTTTTTTCGGTCTTGGTCTTGGTCTTGGTCTTGGGGTGTTTGTCTTGGTCTTGTCTTGGTTTTATTTTTTGGTCTTGGTTTTTTGGCCTTTTTGGACCTAGTGCTTGGCCATCCAAAATCCTCAAAATTTTCGCCTGCGGCGCAGAAAATGGAAGAAATCTGGCTTCTTGAGTCCCAAAATTCAAAAAATTTTCGCCTGCGGCGCTGAAAAAGTGAATTTTTTTGGCATACGGCCTTCCAAAATTCGCAAAATTTTTGCCTGCGGCGCAGGAAAAGGAAGATTTTTGGCTTCTCGGCCTTCATAATTCCCAAAATTTTCGCCTGCGGCGCAGGAAAAGGAAGATTTTTGGCTTCTCGGCCTTCATAATTCCCAAAATTTTCGCCTGCGGCGCTGGAAAATGAAGAATTCTGGCTTCTTGGCCTTCCAAAATTGTACAAATTTTCGCATGCGCGCAAAAAGATAGAGATAAAATAGAGGATGGATATCAGCAGCCACCATCACCTAATCACCCAGGCCCCCCAACTTCATACTATTCCTTTTGATCCCTCATAATCCACTTAAATTCCCCTTTAAACCTCGATATCCTCCTTAATCCAAGGGCGTAGCCAGGGGGTCGATTTCGAATGGGGGGGGGGGGCTAACGTTGGGTATCGCCAAAATTTTGGCTTTACCTTGGCGTTCCAGACGTAAAATCCCCTGACATCCCTCATAATTCACTAAATCCCATGGCAATCCCTATTAATCATTATATCACTAATATCCCGTTAATCCACCCAAATCCTCTGAAATAATAACCTATTTTATTGATTTTCCACACGAATAAATTCCCCGAAATTCTTTGAATTTCGCATAAATTTTTCGAAATTATAGATAATTGTGCTGAAGTTGACTGATCGTATCAAAATAAGAAAAAATAAACCAAAAATTTGACCTATGGGATTTAAAAATTTGGTCTTGATTTCTGGTCTTGAGTCTTGGAGTTTTGGTCTTGGTCTTGAGTCTTGGTCTTGGAAAAAATTTTGTCTTGGGTCTTGAGTCTTGAGTCTTGGAAAAATTTTGGTCTCGGACAGCTCTAGTGCCTAGACCTAAAAGGTCTGAACGCATAGCTCCAAGAACCTACAATATTTTTACAGGTTGTGTGAAACGGTAATATAAAATAATAAATGAATATAAATTTATATTTAAAATTATTTTTTAAAAGCAGGCATTAAGTAAAGCGCTTTATTAATTAATGAAATCGAATAATTTGCTTGTATGCCCACATAGGGTCTAAAAATGCCAACATAGCTTAAAAAGGCCAAAGAAAAGCGAGTAAAAAGGAGAAAGAGAAAGAAGAGAAGAAGAAAAATTTTCCAATAATTAAATAAAAATAAATTAAAAGTCTAAGTTTCAACAGACTATCTCAAACAAATTTAATTTTGTTTCAGTTGGTTTTAACTTAAAAAGCTCTTTAAAATGAGGTATTATTTACATAGTCTCCAATAGATGGGATTGGGAGATGACTGATAATTGTTAGCAATTATTTTTTGTTTTTAAAACAATTTTTATCGAGCTTTTCAATTTATTAAATTCAAATTGTTTTTAATTTTTATTAAAATTGAAAAATAATTTTTTAAAAATAAAAATATATTAGATGAAATAATAAATTAACAAAGAGATGTTTCTCCAGATAATCCATAACGATGATTATGCCCTGAACGATCTCTTAAGTGAATAGTTGTAGATTGTGTTGAATTTGCTGGCAGACTTGACTCTACAAATAAATTAAGAGGAAAAATATTTTTTGAAATTTATTTAAAATTAAATTCTAGAGATTGAGATTTTTGAAAAGCCTGGGCCGGCTCTAGGTAAGGAAAAACCTAGGCCTTTGTCCAGGCCCAGCTCGGTCTCTATTAAATTCTTTTTAAATTCCAATAATTATTAAATAAAATAAATTAAATTTAATATTCTTTTCACGTTTTCTCAATTACCTTTCCATCTAGAAACGGGCGTTGCTTCACGATAAAATTGATTTGAATGGAAATGTGGAAATTGTGTAACAGAATTTTGATTGGCATTTTGTTGTAAATTGTTTTGAGGGCTGTCTAAAATCATTGGAGATATTACGTGGGCAACAGAAGGTTTTTGTTGAGCACTTACTATTTTAAAAAAATTTATTTTTATAAAAAATTATTTTAATTTGAAAAAAAATATTAAAAGAACTTTTAGGAAATAACTGTTTATTTATAAAATAGTAAGTGCTATTTATCTATAAATAACTATTTATTTATAAAATAGTAAGTGCTCAACAAAAACCTTCTTTTTTTTTTTTATTATGAAATTGTTAACTAAAATCTCTCTTTAAATTTAATAACATTCTATTAAAACATTAATCCTTAAATAAATTATAGATTTAAATAATTGATTCCAGTTATTTTACAAAAGGAGAAAAGATTGATTCTGATAATAATTAAAAGAAATTAATCAAAAATATTTAATTTTTATATTCACAAAATATTTTTTAATTACCATTTAAAGTACCATCACAATCATTTTGTTGATTTTTTCGAAAAGAGCGGCTTCGATCCAATACTTCCAACATCATCCTTTTATAAACCTCGTCGTTCTCAAGGCGAACATTTTCTTTCATTTTTTGTTGACGTTTTTTCTAAAAATTTAAAGAATTAAATATTTTTCATAAAATATTAAATTATTTTGTGATTGTTTTTATTATTTTTATTTGTTTTTATTTTAACCCACAAAAAATAATTTATTAAGAATTTACAAATTTATTGTGCTTAATTAGATAGTATACATTTTTAAATCAAATTTTAATTTCTATATTTTATTTGGTCAAAAAGTTCAGAATTAGCAATTATTTCAAATTAATTTCCAACCTCCATATATTCACCCTTATCAAATCCTTTATGCATTCCTTTTCGATACCCCAACCAATGACAAATATATCCAACCAAAATAATTATGGCTATGGCCACAATACTTGCAACACCGCCCCAAAGAAGAATGTGTCCTCGCACATAACAAGGCTCATTTTTTCCTGGACATTCAGGACAGGTTGGGCAATTGCCCATTATCATAAATAAATGAAATAAAAAATTAAACTATTTTTAATTGAAAAACATAAATATACTAATTTATTAAAATAGTTTTAAAAAGTTAAAATATTAAAAAATAAAAAAATTATTAGTAAGCATATGTCTTTTTTTATTCATAGACACTATAAAATGCAGAATAATACAGAAGGATAAATATTAAAAATTAAAAAAAAAGGAAAAAATAAACAATTAAGGTCCTTAGAGTTTAGAAAGTTTTAGATCTGAATACAAAATTGTGAAGCTGCTATATAAAAATAAAAGCCATATCTGGAACAGAAATGAAAATCCAAAAAATGAACAAAATAATTTTAATATTATGATAAGACATTGCTTAGTTTACATTAATTACTCCATTAATTACTCTTATGAGAAGAAATTTCTTATAAACTTTTGTTATGAAAAACTTAAAGAAAATATATATTTACTTAAATTTTTTTACAAAATTATAAAATAAAATAAATATAAAATATTGAACCTTAATAAATTTAGTTATTTATTAATAACTAATTAATTTTCAAAAAATATATAGAAGATAGATCAACTTTATTAAAAAGAAAATTAAAAATATTTATTAAGAAGATTTAAATCAATGAAAGTATTAATGTGCTTATTTTGTAATGTAGATAGGTATATAAAATGTAAATTAAGTTTTTTATTTAGCACTTTTTTAGTTAAATAAAAAGAGATGTGATGGCTGACTTTGATGAGAAAAATTATTTTTTACTAGAAAAAAATAAAGGAGAATTTGCTTTTGAAATTTTTGCTTTTTTAATTATTTTTAAATGTTTTATCTAAATTTTAGAAAATTGTCAGTTTATTAGCTTTATCAAAACTTAATTCATTACTGATCTAAAATCCTTCTAGTGCTGAATTTTAAAAGTAACATCTTGACGATAATAACGATAAAATACGTAAGACGTTGATAAAAATTTCTGGAACTGGTTTAGTATGCGTCCAAATCAACAAAATTTGATTTCTCTTAATGTTGTTAAGTCGGGGTATGGTTCCAAAACATTTCCTCATGTTTGCGACCTACGCCCACTGAGTCTGGGGCCGTTCCTTACCCTATTCCTCGAAATTTCTGAAAGTTATAATTGTTTTTCTGAATTTTAAACAATTGGCTATAACTTTCAAAATTTCGAGGGATAGTGTAAAATTAAAGTAAAATTTATTAGAAATGTTAAGAAATATAAAACAAAATATATTCAAATAATTAAAAAACTTTCCAAAAAAAATTTTTATTTAAAATATATATTAAATAAATATTTTAATTAAAATTAAGTATGAGTAATTCTTGTTTTGAAAATAAAAAAAGAAGCATTGATAAATATAAAAAAGTAGAAGTTAATAAATATTTGTAGGACAAGTATGGAATATCTCTTTTTAATTTTAAATATGTATAAATGTAAAAAATGATATAAAAAATGCTTGGAATGACTAATAAAAATAAATTTAAAAAATTATTCTTAAAATTTTTCAAATATGTATTTAAATATTAAAAACAGGTATTTCAGATTCTACAGCAGCTTCAGGAAATGTTTTGATTATCATAATGTTGTTAGGGCGAGATTTGTTTTTACTTAAAAAACTTAAGCTGTCAAGAATTAAATTTCTGCCATCTCAAAAATTTTATCAGACGTCTAGCCTTAAAGAAGATTTTAATTGAGTAAAATATTTTAATTGAAGGACAATGGAATTTAGACAGACAAAAATTTGAAATGTATAAATTAAATAAAGGCTAGTCTAGACATAATTTATTAAAGGTTATTTAAATTATTTGAAAGATAGAAATTCTTTTAAATAAAAGGGGTAAGTCTATTAAGGAAAGAGAAGCATTTAAAAAATCACTCCCTCAAGAATAAAATTTTTTGTAAAATTTTTCCCCAAAAAATGTCAAAAATAATTTTTGTTTACAATATTATGTTAACAATAATTTTTATTAAATGTTTTGTTTGTACGAATGATCATCATAGGAAACCAGGTTTGTATTTAAATTTCTTTAAAACCAGAATTTAAAAAAAAAATGATTTGTGTTTATCTTTGTTACATTTCTTACTATTTACCTAGCAAATAAAGCAAAAATGAAAACAATCAGTAGGTGTTGGTAGTTTTTGGTACGGTTATGTACTACAGAAATTTTACCCATTTGCCGAACATTAGTATTGGGATATTGAACGGTTAGCAAGTATTGAGATATATAACGGTTAAAAAATGCCTGAAATATTAAAAGGAAAGCTTTTAAGATTAAGTCACAAACTGGAATTTCTGTGAGTTTCAAACCATATGTAGAAAATATATGTAGAAAATACATGTAGAGTTATAGTTAGATGGGTCTTTCATTGAAAAAAATTTATCTAGGTATATTCAGATTATTTATTTGATAATATTAAGAAACCTATGACAAATGGCTAGCTAAAAAAATGCCTGAAATAATAAAAGGTTAGATTTTAATAATTTTAAATAATTAATTTAATAAAATTAACAGAACATTCGAAAGAAAAAACTGTTTTTGATAAAATGAACAAATCTTTCAAAAAGTTATTTAGCGAAGTTAAATGTAAACATGGATATATTTTTCAAAAATCTAAATTAAGAAAATTGGAATATCCAAAAGAAATATTAATTAGTTTTAATGAAACTTATGTTATTGGAAAAGGAGGATTTGGCACTGTAATGATTTTATTTTTAAATTAAAATAGGATTTGAAAAATAATAATAAATTCTTAATAAATTTTATTTTATTAATGAAAATGGAATTCTTTCAATATTTATTGAAAATATTTTTTAAAAATATTTTAAGTTATCTGTATTTATTTTAGAATTAACAAATTTATTTTTCTCAAGTAATTAAAAATATTTAAAAGGTGTATCATGCTTATTGGCCTTTAAAAAAGAAATGTATAGCCTTCAAAAGTACTTGCAAATTTGGCGGGAAAAGAGAAATTCAAGTACTTAATTATTTTAAAAATTTGGGAAAACTAAATCCGAATGAAAGTAAATATATTGCTGAAATGTATGGATAGTAAGTTGATTTTTAAATTAAAGTTTGGGTATTTTATCTGACACTTGACCCTTTTTGAAAAAAAGTTGTTAATAAAAAATTTTTACAAATTTTGTTTGGCTGGTATAAATCACCTATAATTTAATTTCAAATTTTGATTTTTTTGTTTCTTCAAGAATAATACCCAAAAAGTTCCCCCTAAGTAATAGGTATAATAAAAAAAGAATTTGTTAAGATTAAATAAATTTTTTGTAATTTTATTTTCTATTTAAGTATTGAACTTAAAGAAAAATTTGCAATTGCTTTGGAACTTGGCACAAATAATCTGAGAGGATATTATTTAAAAAATATAGTAAACGGCAATAACCGTTACCTTTTTTCATCCTATTTTTCAACTTCAATTACAAAACTTTTAAAAGGAGCTGCTAAAGCTTTAGAGCAATTCCATAAACGTAATTATTTTATTACTTAATTAAAAATATATTTCTTTAAAATTAATTTAGATGGTATCCATCTAGATATTAAAGCAGATAATTTTATTATTTCCCAAGAACAAAATGAAGGGGATAATGTAATTGTTTGTAAATTGATAGATTTTAATACTTCCTTTCTTTTTAAACATCATAATTTTGATGATATGCGGATTGAAAATACTACTGATTTATACAAGGCACCAGAAATTCGAAATAATGACAGAATGAAGGTATGTTGAAGAAGATATATAGATTATCCTAAAGTTATAAGCACGAAAACTCAAAGTGAATCTAAACTTGTGTGGGTGTCCATTAAGAGAAAAATAATGTCGAAAAAAATTGGATTAAATTTTGAATTAAATTTATCATTAAAGCACACAATAAAATTCCAAAAAACGGTTCAGATTTTTATATGTAATAACTCGAAAGCTTTATGTGTTTTAATTTTGGGTGGACCAATATATTTGTATTTTAAATTAAACAAATAAAAATTTTTAAAAATTTATCATTTTTAGCTTACTAGAAGGGTGGATGTTTGGGCTTTTGGTTTAATGAGCTATAAACTATTATATACATTATCAGGTATTTTATTATATAAAAATTTAACAAATTTAATTTTTAGTTAAAAAACCTGAGGATTAGGATAATTTATTAAATGAATACCGAAATAATTTAAATAAAACTAGTCGTTTAGATAGAATTATAAAGGTATATTTCTTTGTTTTTGAAAACATTTAAACAATTATTTAAGGCTTGCATTCAAATAAATGAATATAAAAGGCCTAGTATGAAAGCTATAAACAATTTTTTGAATGGAGAATGCCATGCTTTTAATTATGAAAAGGAAAATTTTAAAAATGTAAAAATTTGTGAAGATGACTGGTAAAAGTTGAATAAGATACCGTATTTTCTCGATTAATTCCCCTGGGGAATTATTTTTTCAACCCAACCTTGGAATGGGGAATTATTCAAGGGAGGGGAATTATTCGAGTTTTGAAATTTGAACGTGTAGTAGAGTATTTGGGGATGGGGGATTATTGTTTTAACTCATCCGTAGCAGGGGGAATTATTCGAGAGAGGGGAATTATTTGAGGGAGGGGAATTAATCGAGTAAATACGGTAATCAACCTATTGTTAATTATTTATTTGTATGTAAAGATATAAAATTAAAAAGACAATTATTATATTTTATTGTACATACTAACTATTAAATAAAATTATTTAAAAAATTGTTTATTTAATATTTTATTATTACTATTAAATAATTAAATAACTCTATTAGATAAACCTTCCAGCTAGATGTTGAAACAATAAATACACAGGATAATTACTTAGTTGATCATGTTCTCCATATTGTATATCCAGTATGTAGTTATTAGGCAGTTTTTCCATTCATTGCCCAACTAAATTTAAAAAAATTAATTTATTACATTTTCATTACATTTACTCCGTTTCTAATCAATTTGATCTAAAAGTGTTTGAATTTACTTTAAAAAGTATAAAATGAAAAG